CCGTCAACCGTAAGCTCCAGGGGAGAAGCGCGACAGACGCATTCATTCGATAGTGCTAGAGATAGTAGGCCGACTAGCCCACACAACGTTTCCAGTCCCGTTACTTCAAGGGGAATCGAGAAAGGCCAGGCTTTCCTCTCCGTTCCGGAAAATCACCACCGCTCAAGGCAAAACTCGGTCGATAGTGAAGATGGATCGCGATCAATTAGTTCATCTCAAGGTGATACGGTGACGGGCACGACATCATGGCAAGGCGAGAAGGGTGCTGTATCAAAGCACTCGTTCGATAATGAGAAAATAATGAAGGATGATGATGCCTTGAAACCGGATCAAGGCAAGGAGGCCGATTTCGAGGTGGAGAACAACCCCTTCGCGTATAGCCCTGGCCAACTCACTAAGATGTTTAACCCGAAAAGTTTATCAGCTTTTTACAAGCTTGGAGGTCTTGCTGGGATAGAAAAGGGGCTTCGCACTAATCGTGATACTGGATTAAGCCCTGACGAAAAGCATTTGGAAGGAAAAATTTCGTTTGAGGAGGCGACAAATCGTTCATCGTCTAAATTGGGCTTGGAAAGTCCACAGGCGCCGGTTCGCTCAGATACTGATCGGAGACAAGGATCCGAAGAGCAGTTCATCGATAGGAAACGCGTTTACGGAGATAACAGAATCCCCGAAAAGAAAGGCAAAAGCTTTTTACAATTGGTATGGATCACTTATAATGACAAGGTTTTAATTCTGCTTTCCATCGCAGCCGTAGTATCACTTGCCGTCGGTCTATACCAGACGTTTGGCGCTGAGCACGCGGCTGGAGAACCGTCCGTCGAATGGATCGAAGGTGTAGCTATCATTGTGGCCATTGTTATTGTGGTTTTGGTTGGGTCTTTGAACGATTGGCAAAAGGAAAGGCAATTCGCGAGATTAAACCGGAAAAAGCAGGACCGACTGGTCAAGGTTATCAGGGCAGGCAAAACCGTCGAAATATCTGTCTTCGATCTCCTGGCCGGCGACGTCGTTCACCTGGACCCTGGCGATCTTATTCCCGTGGATGGTATCCTCATTCAAGGTTTCAATGTTAAGTGTGACGAATCGCAAGCAACTGGTGAGTCGGATATCATTCGCAAGAGGCCGGCCGATGATGTGTTTGCCGCTATCGAGAGCGGAGAGGATACGAGGAAGCTAGATCCCTTTATTCAGTCTGGAGGCAGAGTGATGGAAGGTGTGGGAACTTTTCTGGCTACGTCTACGGGTATCTACTCAAGTTACGGCAAAACGATGATGTCCCTAAACGAAGATCCCGAGATAACACCACTTCAGTCCAAGCTCAACGTTATTGCCGAATACATTGCGAAGCTCGGAGGCGCTGCCGGTCTGCTCTTGTTCATTGTATTATTCATCCTCTTCCTGGTCCGGGTCCCGACGAGTAGTAGTATGACACCGTCTCAGAAGGGCCAAGAATTCATCAAAATTTTCATCGTCGTGGTTACTATTATCGTCGTTGCGGTACCGGAGGGATTGCCTCTTGCTGTCACATTAGCGCTGGCCTTCGCTACAAACCGCATGATCAAGGACAACAACTTAGTGCGTCACTTGAAAGCCTGCGAGGTAATGGGAAATGCGACGACAATCTGCTCCGACAAGACTGGTACCTTAACTCAAAACAAGATGACGGTTGTCGCTGGGACGATTGGAACGTCTCATCGATTCGGAAGCGGGGCATCTGAGAAAGGAGATGAGCTGTCGGAGAAGGAATTTGCTAGCACTCTCAGCAATGGAGTTCAAGAGATTCTGCTGAAATCAATCTCGCTTAACTCGACAGCTTTCGAAGGCGAATTAGATGGCGTGAAGTCTTTCATCGGATCCAAAACAGAGACTGCGCTACTGGAATATGCTAGGGCCTATCTTGGTATGGGCCCAGTAAGTGAAGAACGATCGAACGCAAAGACGCTACAGCTTATTCCATTCGATTCTGGCCGAAAGTGTATGGGTGTTGTCGTGCAGCTTGAGAACGGCGGCGCTCGTTTATACGTCAAGGGTGCATCCGAGATCGTGCTTAAGAAATGTTCGGCCATTCTTCGTAGCCCTACCCAGGACGCATCGAATGCCCCCATCACTATGGATGATGTAGAAACTGTCAAGGCTCTTATCGAAGCTTACGCATCCAGGTCTCTGCGAACTATCGGGATTGTTTACCGTGATTTTGAGAGGTGGCCTCCACGAGGTGCCAAACGCGCCGAGGGTGAACAAAACGAGGTGATATTCGAGGATATTTTCAAGAATATGACATTCGTTGGTATGGTCGGCATCCAGGATCCTCTTCGTGAGGGTGTTCCCGAAGCGGTTAAGCAATGTCAAAGGGCTGGCGTGATTGTTCGCATGGTCACCGGCGACAACAAACTTACGGCTCAGGCTATCGCGAAGGAATGCGGCATATTGCAAGGGGATGGGTTGGTGATGGAAGGTCCAGAATTTCGGAATCTAAGCAAATACCAACAAAACGAGATCATCCCGCGCCTCCGTGTACTTGCGCGCTCTAGCCCCGAGGATAAGCGCGTTCTTGTGCGTCGTCTCAAGGATCTAGGTGAAACCGTTGCTGTCACCGGTGATGGTACGAACGACGCGCCCGCTCTGAAGCTTGCGGACGTCGGGTTTTCCATGGGTATTGCTGGTACGGAAGTGGCAAAAGAGGCATCTGCTATCATTCTTATGGATGATAATTTTAACAGTATCGTGAAGGCCCTAATGTGGGGTCGAGCTGTGAACGATGCCGTCAAGCGTTTCCTCCAATTCCAACTTACCGTCAATGTTACCGCCGTTGTATTGACATTCGTCACGGCTGTCTCCAGTAGCGACGAGGGCTCTGTGCTAACTGCGGTTCAGCTTCTCTGGGTTAATTTGATCATGGATACTCTCGCGGCGCTTGCACTTGCTACTGACCCTCCTCAGGACAGTTGTTTAGACCGAAAACCAGAGCGCCGAGGTGCCAATATCATTTCAGTAACAATGTGGAAAATGATTCTCGGCCAGGCTATTTACCAATTGGCGATTACTTTCATACTTTACTACGGCGGAATCTCTATTGGTATAGTCGGGGAAGGCCCTTATCAAATCGCGCAACGCGACACACTCGTTTTCAACACCTTCGTATGGATGCAAATCTTTAACCAATGGAAGTAAGTACAAATGGATGGAATTAAAACTTATGAACCATACTAATCATATTATAGTAACCGTCGCTTGGACAATCACTTTAACATCTTCGAAGGCCTAACACAGAATTGGTATTTTATTATTATCAATCTTGCCGTGTCTGGTGCTCAAGTCCTCATCATCTTTGTTGGTGGAGCCCCCTTTAGTATATCTGGGTCCGATCCGACACAGACGGGTCCTCAATGGGCATGTGCAATCGTCCTCGGTGTCATTTCCATTCCTATTGGAATGGTCATTCGTCTTATTCCCGATGAGCTGATCAGCAGATGTGTTCCCGATGTCCTTAAGAAGAAGCGCGGCATCCCTGGATTAACAATTTCGGATGAGGAACGCTTCGAGGAGTACCCAGAAGTTCTTGCTGACGTTAGAGACGAGCTTGCATTCCTGAAGAAGCTCAAGGGTGGCCGCCTGAACAATTTGAAATTTGCCGTCAGACAAACCCGAGACAATTTCATCTCGAAGACGAGGAGCCCGTCCCATTCTCGATCAAATTCGGTGAAAGCACCGCAAACTCCAACACGCGAAGATAGCTTCAGCGCTCCCTCCCCAGCACCTACTCCAGATTCCAGAAAGCGTTCCAGGTCGATAAGATCGCGGTCAAATTCGGCACTAGGAGCCCCTACGGTTATGGCAGGCATCATTGCTGGCAGTGTAGCAGCTGGGTGGTCTCCGATAGAGAGGACTGGAGATCGTGATTTCCCACCAACCCGTCCGACACCTTCACCGCTATCCACTCGCGAGCACAGCGAACAAGAGCCAGCACCTGTCCTAACAGAGGAACCGATATCGATCGAAGATTCTGGCCCCTCCAGTGTACCTCAGCTCAGCGTTCCACAACCACCCCAAAAACAAAAATCTATTTCTTAGGCGGCATGAGTAAAGTTTTGGTTTAGATCACCCCCATGTCAGTCTCGCCTGATACTATGATATCTGGAGATAGCGAGAACATGCGCACAGAAAACGAGTGGAAGTATTAGAATACAGCTCGTAAATAATATTAATATACCCCCCGTGGCTAAAACCGACCAGGGTTGTTGGTTCGGTCTATTATTCCGGCTATGCACAATCCCGACAGGGCCTACAGAGAAGACTATCTACTGGGCTACCGTGTCGAGTACGGCCGCGGCGAACCACAACCGCCATCAAGCATCTCTCGCGGAAATGTGTAATTCGTGGTTCGCGATTCCTGGGTTGTGCTACTCAAACGGGGAGTGTGGATATTATAGTTAAGGGTATTAGAATGATGGTGCTAGGGTAAAGGGGTATTGGAAATGAGTTTGGCACCTTCACGTTGACATGCTTGGTGCAGTATTGGGCTTCTAGGCCAGGATACAAATATTAAATACTATAGACAAACGTCGGCGTTTGGTGTCAGTGCGATTGGTAGAGCGTGTTTCTTTGTGTGTGTTGGTTAACAATAGGATCGAGTCGATAGATATCAAAACGTCGTACAGTAAAGCGGGGATGAGAAGGATGAGAAGCAGTAAAAGGGTATTTCACGTGGCATACATATTACATGGAGATGAATTATAGGTGTTTAATAATGATAACTGGTCAAGGCAATACTCGAATGTGACTTGAGAGGTAGATATGTGAAACTAACAAGTCCATTGTTTACACCGAGAACCTCGTAGGACGGGGCCGGGAGTTGTGGAGCTACCAATACGGACATGTGGACGTACGTTAGCCCGCATACGACTTTCCGTCGACCAACCCTATGTACCTAGGTAGATATGTGATATAAGATCTGCCTACTTGTTCTCTATTTACTCGCCCCATCTAACGTGGTATAGTTAGTGTCTAGAGCGTTCTTTACCTAAGCGGAATATCAAGCAGGAAGCCTCCCAGCCTCGTCCCAGGCAGGCTGTCAAGCAGGTAAGCGAAAGCTACGTAAGCGTGGTATATGGGGTATGTAAGGCCTTTTACACCGAGTTGCCTCACCCTCCTCTACCTGATAACTGCAGTGGGGGCCAAATTTCGGTGGCCTGCGTTCAGGGGAAGTTCTATTCGCTCGGAGTTTGCGTGGGATATCTATATACCTACCTACCTATATAGGTTACAGGATACGGAGTACTTGCGAGAATGGCGGACTGGCAGGGGGGGTTTTCTAATAAGAGGAGTTGCAGTCGTAGGCACACTTGTTGATTTACCGGGCTGGGTCTTATAGGAATATTTACCTGGGGGATGGATATGGCAAATCATTTTTCCCCTTGTTTAAGAGGTATTGAGTGAGCCTCTTTGGCTGCCTTTGATGTAATAGGTTCTTGTGATAACCCATTACCTGGTCGCTAACATACACTTGGCTAGGTTGGCTCTGGTAGGTAAATGCGCTTATGGTATTTTTTTTTTTCGTTGCTGGATGAGAACCAGAGAGGGGGGGGGGGGTTCCTAGATGCGCATGTGCTACCGTCGCACGGCATGAATCACGACGCAGCTGTCACGGGTGATCTGAAGCTCGTTGGTCGCCGTACGGAATTCGACCCGGGTTGCCTTAGTACGGCACGGTGCTGTATCTTGGTGAGTCTATAACTACCTACATACCTAGCCGAGGAGAAGGGAAGGTATATGCTAACTATCTCCTAGGGGGTAGGTATACTACTGTCCTGTCTGTTATGATACTGGAAAGAGAGGCAAATATGGGGTTTCGGAGAATACGGATGTCCTGTGTAGGTATCAATAGGGCGGAACGTGCATGTATACCTATAATATATTGGACAATTAGGGGGCTACGCACTGCCTCTGCGTTGTGCGACGACTTGAGTAGGCTCTTGTATGTAACGATACGTAATTCTAAATCAGGCGATTGTTACTGGCCGTCCGGAGGAATTGCTCGCGGTGGCAAGAGGGAATATTGTATGTAACCCTCTGAGTTGAAGTAGATTCGACGGACTGTCCTAGGAGGTAGTTGATCTGTAGTTGATCTGTTAAGAAAGGGGGTTATTGATATTTGGTATGATTGACTCAAATACGCGATACTTCTGATAAATGCATAGTATAGCATGGAAATACGAATAACTATTTGAAGATAACTCTACGAGGTCGTATTTAACTAGGTTAGCAAGTAATTTCCAAGTTACGATCTATGTCTGCGGTATATTATTCTATATATTCATTTCTGTAATGAAGATTGGTATTTACTTAGGTACGTCCCTGTTACATTTTAGTCAAGCATGATAGCGAATAAATACACGTATTAACTGACTGGCTATCAGCTAACCCAGGCAGGGAGTTGAGAAACGAGGTGATATCTTGGTGACAATCAAAAGTGCGAACCAGGGTTAGGCACCAACCATGGGATTTTCTCTGGCGGGTGTCAGACTGAGTCAGGCCTTGGGTCGAGATGGGATAGATACCTAGATCATGACGGTATCATGGTTTTGGAATTTTGGAACTTGAGACTTTGAAGACTCTAAAAAGGAGACAACCTGATGATGCCAATGGTTAGCATTGAATTTTCTGTTGAGAATCACGTTAAGCGAAAATGAATTCGACGTGGTGAGTCCTCCCGCTCGTTGCGAATTACTTGGTATCAGTCTTATTAGTTAGGTACGGAATAGCTAGTTAGACAGAATTATCCTGGTTAGGTTCTCAAGCGATGGATGGCATGTTCACGACTAATATGTTCACGACTAGCTTCTTGAGGTAAATTGAGATTGTGGGGTAGCATATCTGCTGATTCCCCTACCACGTGGCGCTCGTTTGTTCCTCTATCGTTAGGTTATATACCTATTTATTATTTTATTTTATTTTTAATTTTTTTGCGCTTAGGGAATTACCTTTCTCAAGATTGCCTCAGATTAGGGCCAGTTGAACAGATTTGAATTATATAATAGGCGGGAATCGGTATTAATAGATGAGAGTTATCCGGAGTTGCGGGAACTTAAAAGTCTTGGCACATATCGGGCTTTCATCGAAGGACTTGGAATTATTTGGTCAGTGGTCAGTGGTTAGTGGTTAATGGTCAATGGTCAATGGCAAATAATGTTCCCTCATCTTCCCGGGCCGTAGGAATGAATCGGATGAATACAGCGCCTGCATTTCTATGTAACTAAGTGACTAAGAAGGATAGGTACACAATTCGCCTAATTACCAAGGTTTATCGGTTGTCAAAGAGAAAGAGGTTGTCAAGGCAGTCGGATGATAGTAATCATGGATGATAATTATGGATAATAATCATGGATGACTAGTGGCAGAGGAGACAGGGTAGAGTTTGTCAGGGCAAACATTGAATAGGTAAATATGTACAAGCCTCGACATTGTGGACGTTATGGGAAATGCGGCAAACAAGCAACATAGAGGTAAAATAGAGAACAGAATACTAAAAAATAAAAAAAAGGGAAATGTATTTTAAAATAAAAACCCGCTCTAGACCGGAGTGAGAGATGGCCCCCCCTATCATCGCTATCATACTCTTACAATTAATATGGGTGGCACACTGTCCCTTCTGCCCTTGTAGCCTATCAGCATCTTCGCTTAGTACTTGACTTTAGTACTTGACTTTTATCATTCATGAAGTTTCAAACTCATCGGTTTTTCCCTCCTTCTCTTTCTTACGCATGGTGACTATTTCCTTGTCGCATCTTTCCCTTTAAAATTTTATTTTTTCTTTACACGACTTTCTGCTCTTACCTTACCTTCCCTTCCCTTACTTTTACCAACCCAACCCAACCCGCATTAATAATTATAAGAGGGAATTAAGTTCCTCAAAAACTACTACGCCGAGATTTAACTTATGCGGGTCTTCTTCTTGTAATAAATTCGTTAAATTCGTACGAAGTAGTTTCCCTTACGAAATTCGGAAATTCCAAGAAGCGCCCAATCCTTCATGAATCATAGTGTTGTTAGTTACGTACGCTTTTGGTATGTAGGTGATTTATTATTATTATTATTACTACTACTACTACCACTACCACTGCTACTAACTGCTACCTGTTCTAATTCCCTCCCCCGACCCGAATTCCCAAATAACACCACACAATACACAACACATACACACACACACAAGACGCGTTGACCATCCCCGGCACCTCTCTGGCTAGGATAGGTAGTTTCTCAAACCATATTTCCTCCAGGGTTAAACTTGTCTTGTTTCTTCTTTCTCTTTTACTTCATCCCTTCCCGCTAATAATTATTTTTTCTCTTCCCTTCTTGTTCCTCCCCCCTCCAAAGAGATTTCACGGAACCAATTCACTTCGTCATTCAACCGCGCAAAATTCCTGTTGATTGATTGATTGATTAATTACTACCTAGGCAGTCGATCAATTAGGCCCGCCTAATTTTATTAAACCGACTCATTAGACAGACCCAGATTCCGATTTGCCCATTCGGTCATCGGTCATCATACGCAATTGACTCTTTCCCGCTCTTAGTTGCTATTTTATTTTATCTCATCACTCAACGCCACTTATCCCAAGACTACCTACCTAGGTAGTTATAGCAAACGCGATGAAGGCGAAGCGTCCCGTCGGCCGGCCTCGCAAAAATTGGCCCGTAAAGGAGTCGGAACCTCCCAAAGTCCGAGTTGAAGTTGCGGATGACCAAGTCGTCGGCCATCTTAATGTGAGACCGCATGGTCATGCACGCAACGAACTCGAGGAGCGAATCAACGACCTTAGCGATTCATGGGAGACCGAGTCGCTTTTCGAGGATGTCATCGAAGATATCTCTGAAGATAGGTTCATTAACGATGGTAATTACATATTTACCTTACTTTCCCCCTTTATTATTTTTTTTTTTTTAACTTTCTCTTCTTAGTTAACTCTCTCTCCGTTGTTTTACAATTAATTCTAACGTGGCCTTATAGTTGACGCTGTCACGCCAGAACAGGCTGTGCAGTACCGCCAACAGTTACGAGCTGTTGGACCCCAAGAGTTCTGCAAACGTACAGTTGACTCTGGCACAATTACAGTCAAGAAGTTACTGACGGCCTTTGGAATACGGCCGCCTGCATTCCTTGATGGGCTTCCAGATCATGCCTACTTCGGTTTACTCACTTTGGCCATGACGCGTGAGTTGGTTAAGCGCGCCAAGCTTCCAACGTATAACACAATTGACGACGCCGTGGCTCTGCTGAAAGCATCGCGAAACATCGTCGTCTTGACCGGAGCTGGAATTTCTACTTCGCTCGGAATTCCCGATTTTCGCTCAAAAGAAACGGGACTCTACTCGCAACTCGAGAAGCTCGGTTTAGGGATTAGCGACCCTCAAGAAGTCTTTAACATAGATATCTTCCGGGAAGACCCGACTATCTTTTACTCGGTGGCAAAGGACATTCTTCCCGAGACCAAGGGATTATACTCGCCAACTCACGCTTTCATCGCTAAGCTTCAGGATGAAGGCAAGCTTCTAACGAATTACTCACAAAACATTGATAACATCGAAGCAAACGCGGGTATCAGACCGGATAAACTTGTCCAGTGCCACGGCTCATTTGCAACTGCTACCTGTCAGAAATGTGGCTACAAAGTCCAAGGCGACACCCTCTTTGCCGACATCAAAGCTGGCAATATACCGCGATGCATCAAATGCATTACTGCGCTCCGAACTAACGGCTCGATGAAGCGCAAGCGCTCTTACAATAAATCTACAGGCAAGAAGACCCGGCGTAAGAGCACGGACGATGATGACGACGACGATGGCCAATACGATATCCCCGCCGCTGGCGTCATGAAACCCGACATCACTTTCTTCGGTGAGGAGCTACCGGATGAGTTCAGTCAACGGTTAGTTAAGCACGATCGTGACCGCGTCGATCTGGTCATCGTGATTGGCACTTCGCTCAAAGTTGCACCTGTCTCTGAAGTTGTGCCTTACCTACCGCCGCATATCCCGCAGATATATATCTCGCGCACGCCTGTCAGCCATATTAATTTCGATATCGACCTTCTCGGCGACTGCGACGTCATCGTTGCAGAGCTGTGCCGTCGCGCGGGTTGGACTCTTAACCACCCCATGGTGAAGCCCGATCAAAAGATCGACATCAAGCTAGAAGAGGGCTACAAGAGTCGGCATGTTTTTACGGTAGTTAAGCCCGAAGAAGACTCACCAAACCCAAAACCAAACCCAAAATCAGAACCGAAACTGAAACCGAAACCAGAGCCATGACGTCCTCGAGACTATGAAGCAATTCTCTCGCCTTTTCAACTATAATTACGACCAACTACTTGACGTCAGTTTATTACACTGATCAGATTACATTTGCGGTACAAGGATGGCATATCCCGGGGATGGTATTTATTCTTTCGCAGCAAGGCGTTTCCGGGCTTTCTTCTTTTAGTCTTTTCTATAACTATCTTTTCTTTAAAATGGACTTCATTTCGGGAACTTCTGTCGCTCGACCTGCAAACACCAATTACACTTTCCGTGCGTACCTGGTAGACGATACCGAGTATAATAATTTGCGCTAGGATCCCCGCGAAATAGAGTAGTAGATGCAGGTAGACGACGGGGGGGAAGGGAAGATCGCATAAAGCATTCCGATTTTCGGTCTCACAGCATTATGCAGACGGTCCAGGGGAGGATGGCGCTGTCGAGTTATATCTCGGCACGGTCAAAGCTAATTGTGCAATTTCGCTATTGAGAAGATGGCGTTTTTTTTTAATCGACGCTACAACTTTACGGTACGTTACCTTTGACAAGGGGGGAAGGGAAGTAGATGAGAAACTATCTCATAGGTCAAGTCTGCAGAGGGGTTTACCTGTCGACAGCAAGGGGTCTTAATCTACTAGAAACGAGGTAGATAGGCAGTCGATCAGTTAGGCATGTCCATAACATTGCGATGACTTCTAATAAAATTTACTATGATACATACCTCCTAACCTACCTAAGGTACGTAATACGTACATGCTGGTGCGCGGTGAGATGTGAGATGATGTGCTCCTATTGCCATAAAAGTAAAAGCAATATTACCGAGCAATAGCTCAACTATGACTGCCAAATGACTGAACTATTACTATAGTCTATTCCCATTCGACGTAAATTGTCTCAACGGGGTCTTTCAACCGTGTTGAGTCTAGAGACTCTAGACCAAGCCGCCCTTTTCTTTTTTTGCTTCCGGACATTGGCGCTGCTGGCTGCTGCTGCGGTGTAAACCAAGCCACGTCACGCCGTTCTGCCAGCCAGCACGGTTCGTCTTTTCTGTGAGTTGCTGAAACATGGCCTGTCGTGGATCTGCGACATTAACCCACCAGTCAGTCTCATCCCGTTCTTTAGGTTAGGTAGGTTAGGCAGGTACCTGTTTAGTCGCTGGCGGTAGGTAGTCTTATTGAGGGCGGCAACTCGATAGATAGATCTAACTTGCTCCCTTGCTAATACATCAAATACGTACCTATAGGTAGATTAGACCGCTCTTTATTTAAGTAGCTAAAGTTGGATATGTTAGGTAGGTTAGGAGGTAGGTTAGGTAGGGAGTTTCTGTCTGTCTTGTTCGTATGGGATACCCGCATAAGCAATTGTCTTGAGCGAGAGAGTCCCGCATAACTCTTGGCCCGTGGGGAAAAGTCACGTTGAAAGGAGAGAATGATATCCATACTGTAACTAGTAGTTAATATAATATCCGCGTGGGGCTTCCGTAAGGAGGGGGGATGATGCATCACACATAGCGGAGCGTGCTGCAAGCCTTGTTGCCATCCTATGCTTGGCCTGTCGCGATCAACTGATGTATGATTAGAATTGGTCTGACCGGCTCGTATAATTGAACATGTCATTTCAAACTCTCACTCAGGGTTACGGGACTCTGGAGATGTAGAAGTAAAGACCAGTTCGTAGATCCCGTGTGTCAAGTATATAATATTTTTTAAATAGCTCTAATGATAACTATTATCGTCGAGGTAACAGCGACCTTGCTAATAAGTTAGTTATCTGGCAAGTCATAGGGATATTATTAACTGATAGCTTAGGAGGTACCTAACGAGTTAAATGCCGAAAAGGAGCAAAGTGGTAACTACGGAGGTGGAATGAGAAGCGCCTAACTTTTGATATGTGCGGTTCTCGTTACAGGCTTAGATACCTCTGTAGGACTTCCTTTGGTAAACGGACTTGCTTATCAGGGGTAGTACCCGGCGAATTATTTCAGCAACAATTAGATGCGTTTATTTACCTGTCCAGTCCAGCTTCGAGAATTCGTATAACTATTAGGATAACGTACACCATACGAATCCAAGTCTGGAATGGATCAAGGGCCAAGCTATATCTCACAAGTGTAAATTGTTGACTAGATACCGTCCTTTACATAAGTACTACTTGGAGTGAGACGACTTAAATGACGATATTTCGGAACGACATTGCTATGATTCCTGTATCTAGTCTTCGGAAGCCACTGTTAATCACATTAACATAAGACTCGTATTGGATGTCCTTGAAAGAGATCAATTATCTGGGTATCCGCGCCAACATATCTAATTACGGGATTCGCATTCTGGTCTGAATGCTACATAGATGAACAACCTATTATAAAACGTAGAGCGCTCCTACTAGTAGCGCGGGTGATATGAGTTCTATCTTCTCCTGGTGCGCCTATATTAAGCTCTCGTACTTATCCAAGCCCGACTTTTGGGGTTGCTGCTGCTGTGGCTGTGAGGCGGACTGGCTTGGTGCCATAGGTTTCATGGTGCTCATCATGGTGCTCATGCTGTTCATACTTCTGTTCATGCCTCCTAATCCCGAGTTCATCATACTGTTCATGCTTCCAGCTGGTTGATTAGATAAGCCTCCGAGACCACTAGACGGTTGGGCGAATGATGATAATGTCGAATTCTGTCTCTGGGGACCTCCTGGCGGCGGGGGTAAGCTGAACCCTGAGGGTGTACTGCCTCCACTAGACGGTGGTGGAGGAAGAGAGAATGAAGATGACTGGCTCATAGTCGGCCTTGGTTGACCAAGGTTCAAATTTGACATCCCCGTGGCCACATTGCCAAAAGATGAAGCAGATGGAGATATGGGATTAGTCGAGCTCGAAGCCCAAGGATTAGGTACCGCTGCTGTTGAGGTGGACCAGTTGACTGCGGTGGGAGGGTTCTGGGGTGTAGTCGACGTGGCCTTGGTTGCACTGCTTATAGACGGCTGCAAAGGCTGAGAATATTGGGTAGATGAAGGGGTTAGAGTGCCAAATGAATTAAGATCTGGAGTAACTGTTCGGAAAGAAGGTTGGGGTTTGGGAGGTCCAAAGTGATTGGGTCCAGTACCGGTACTAGAAGTAGGACTTGGTGTCGACCAAGAAAATTGCGGTGCATTGATCGGTGGTGAGACGACTGTTGCTGCCGCTGGGGTCGCGTCCCAACTTGCATCCATCGTGTCATTCGTACTCGTGCTCGGTCCAGATTTCCCTTTCACTAGCCGCTCGAAATCATCCTCTGTGGCCCCATTCGTTGAATCAAACGTTGTTCCACTAACACCCCCAAATCCTATGAAATCATCAGTAGGAGTCACCGCCCTTCCTCCGTTTACGACGGAAAGCTCCTGCAACTTCTTCATTTGCTCTTCTTCAACCTTCCTCGAAAGCGACTTGATCAAGTCCATGAAAGACCGAAATTGTTTGAGGTCTAATAAGGGTCCTAAACTCATGCTCCATAAGATGGGTAAGATGTCCATAGCTACGAAGTCGGCATCCGCGTTATCGCCCACAACTCGTAGTACGTCTAGCGCGGCCATCATGACTGCAGGCTCTTTGGTTTTGATAGCTTTGATGAGCGGAACGATCTTTTCTTGCATTGTGTACTTGTCTAGAGCGCTGGATGAAGACGCCTTTTTCTTCTCTGGGCTTATCCCGTCAAGCCCGTCGTCCGCTGACGATGATTCATTCGTGCCGCCGCAAAGAATGACGAAAGCTCGACATCCGCGGACTTTGATGGCTAAGCTGCTGGTTTTGCTGAAGACAGCAGCGACGATAGGGAACAGCTCATTCTTGATAGTACTGAAGTCTAAAACTGGTAACATGACTGGCAGACCGCGTAGAGCAGCATCGACGAGCGAAGGCGTCGGGGACTCGATAGCTACTAAAACAATCGGTAGGACATCTAGGTGACATTGTTAGCTTGGGATCAAACGTACGACGCCAATATGTTAACGTAAGGTGAACACTAAAGTTATCTCAAAACCTCACTATCCTTAATCATGTGAAGGTACCCTATACTCATCACATAACGCTTTATAGATGTTGAACCGCGGTACGCAACAACGTAAGCAGCAATGGTATGGCGAATATCGGCTTATGTCGGCCGACTATGACAATTGATAGAGGAAAGATAGACTCACCGTCTTTAAACTCTTTACCAGAAGAGTTCCCAGCAATTTGGTTAAGATTTTCCAAAACAACCATCAATCCAGCATCCCTAGCTGGATCCTTTTCTTGTAATTGCTTAGCATTGACAACGAATATCTCCTTAATCCTCGGCCGTATCTTCTCCGAGAACGCTCGCCTCGACGATGGCAACAGATCCATAATCTTGAAGACATTCTGAAGGATGAGAGACAATAAGTCTTTGTCTTTGAGTTCTTCCAACAGTGCTGGTAGTACTTTCTTCTCCATAACCGACTTGGGGAAGGACGGCAGAACTTTATTAAGACCTCTCATGAATTGGGCCTTCTCATTCGGAGTTTTAGCCGGGAAAGCGTCGAGGAATCGAATGGTGGAAACGAGAATGTTGTCAAAATATTCGCTCTCTTGAAATTCTCGCGCTGTCATGCGCTGCGCGGGACGCCGTGTAATTAATCGGGGTAGTACGTGGGCCGAAAGGTCCCTTGGTAACGGTCTTTTAGACAGGAAGCCATTTCCAGATGACGGAACCGTGGAAGATGATGTGAATAATCTTTTATATGCAGATATACTCCCGCTACTTTCTATGGGAGATCGATGAGGTGAATTGTATAACGCGACACATAGAAGGCCCAACGAGAACATGTCAGCTGATGTGGTGAGATTATTATCGAGGACAAAATCAGGCGAAGTATAGTCAAGATTGATCTGGACGTGTCGTGGTAGCCTGGGATCTAAGTTGAGAGCTTCCGAGAGGCTGATAGGCTGAACTGAAGTAGGCTTTGACGAGCCCTCTGGTGGACTACAGAAAGCAAGTCCACTGACTTTCCAATCGGACTATCGTCTCGTTAGCAAGCTATGTCTTGAATATTGTTTCATGATTCATAGTGAAGCACGACGATAACTTCGGTTAGTGTCCAAACTGACCTTAGAATTAATTAGTACAGCATCAGGGGTGAGATTGGCATGAACGAGTCCTGCATTCTCGTGTAGGAACTCTAAAGCCTTGCTAATTTGAAGCAACCCCTTCTGTATCTCAAGCTCGTCGATTTCTATATCCCGCCTCCGTCTAGTGCCGCCTGAGTCTTCAGTGACGTATCGGCTCGACCGGCCCCCGACGCCGCTCACTCTCTCCTGATCGTCCTTCTCTTGCAAGAGGCTTGCTAACGACGTAGTCACCGGCTCGGTAACGAACTGAAGACCGCCTCTAGTTTCCTCCACGGGTTCGACTAATTCTAGGACGCTCGGATGACGCAGCCTAGCAAGCGACGAAGCTTCTTTCTTCAGGCGCTCCACCACCTCATCTACGGAGCGCTTAAAGGCGGCTGCACCCGACCGGCCGAGCGAGCCTGAGCCTCCGTGCGACTCTAGCGACTTCCTCTCGAAGACAAAGACGGAATACGTCTTGCCTGTGGATTTCTTCTTCGCATCGTATATCTTCCACGGACCGGCTGTGGAGGTTACGGTTTGCGAAATGGAATAGTTGGAATTGATGTGGGAGGTGAAGCTCTTCAGCGAGGAGAACATGGTTGGCGACGGGGTGTTATGCGACGACTAGCAACCATCATATCGTAGCGCCGCGCGTAGTGATAAACATGCGTCTGCGATCCCACGCTCCCCCAATACTTGTACCAATACCTAATCCCTCCAGGATGACGATTGTGTTCCTCCTCCGGCTAATCGGCAATAGGTTCGACGGATCGTATGATAGAAAAGACGAAATGTTTATCCTTTCTTATGCTTGTGTGCTTGTTTGAGTGATAGAACCTCGTGGCTGGTAGTGCTTTAAAAATGACGTACGCGGACAGTTGTAAGCACGAGGCTGCTTCTCGAGTCGATAGAGTTGCGTTTCAATACGGATTAGTTTATCTGCATGTTGCATGTGTAAATCTACAAATTCAAATGCCAAGCCTAAGCTCTTATCAGCTTGTCTATGTAATACTCAGGGGTTCCTTGCTTGCCTCAGTGGCGGTGCGATTATTGATTTATTCCATCCACCATTCAGCCATTCTAGACCCTTTTACGCCACAGCTGTAAGTCGGATAACAACGCGCTGCCATTGGTCCCGTGTTGCCCGTTAATGCAAAGTCGGGCATATTTAGGGCGTACATGTTATCTGCACTAAACTCCTCCGAGATCGCTTGCATCTCTTACCCTATAGTTTTTTTTTTTCCATTGAGTCGGGTCTTGGTTACCGTTAGTTTGCTAAGATTATAAAGGGAAATTGGGGCTATTTAATTAGTTACTATCGTTCGGGTCCGTCCATGCATAGTAGAGCATCGAGTCAAAGGAAGTAGGTTATACAATCAGGTCCAATTGATTCCTATTTTCAAGATACATAATCTTTCTCTATTCCTGCTTCCTGTTTCCTGTTTCCTGTTTCGTTTCTGTTTCGTAGCAACACCCAACACCAGATCTGATCTAGAAGGTCGACTACAAACCAAACCTGGATTATTGTATACTACTTTCTACTCGCCAATGCTTCGACAACTCCTTCCGCGGTGCGGGAGAGCTCTAAGAGCACCCGTCCCGCGCTCTTCCTATGCGTTGCCCGCATTGCAACGCGCCTCCAGGTGGTACAGTATCCAGCCCGAAGCAGCCTCTGTGGCGAAACCTCTGGATATAGATCCTGCGAAGTTATCTATCACTAAGACGCAGTCGCCTAAGACCCCTAAGGATCCCGCAGAACTTGTCTTTGGAAGAGAGTTTACAGGTACGCTTAACTCCTCCATCTGCGGATCTCTCTATACTACGACTTAGATAGCTAGTAACTATGCTAACTTGTGCCATTGTCAACGCTCGCAGATCATATGTTGACGATAGAATGGACTAAGAATGACGGCTGGCTCACGCCCACCATTCAGCCCTACCAAAACCTCTCCCTCGATCCCGCCACTTGCGTCTTCCACTACGCTTTCGAGTGCTTCGAGGGCATGAAGGCGTATCGCGATAATAAGGGCCAGATACGGTTGTTCCGCCCCGACAAGAACATGGAGCGCCTCAACAAGTCCGCCGCCCGTATCGCTCTTCCTACTTTCGGTCCTACTAGCCTGATCGATCTGATTGCCAAGTTCGTCAAGCTTGAGGAGCGCTTTATTCCCGACGGCCGCGGCTATTCCCTGTACCTCCGCCCGACGCTCATCGGCACGCAAAAGACCCTGGGCATCGGAGCCCCGGGCTCGGCTCTACTTTTCGTCATAGCGTCGCCCGTGGGTCCCTACTACCCCACCGGGTTCAAGGCCGTGTCGCTCGAGGCCACCGACTACGCCGTACGAGCTTGGCCCGGCGGCGTAGGCGACAAGAAGCTCGGTGCCAACTACGCGCCTTGCATCGTGCCACAAATGGAAGCCGCCTCCCGCGGATTCCAACAGAACCTATGGCTATTCGGACCCGAGGAATACGTGACCGAAGTTGGTACTATGAACCTGTTTGTGGCCATCCGCAATAAGGAGACGGGCCAGAAGGAGCTTATCACCGCGCCCCTAGACGGTACCATCTTAGGCGGCATAACACGCGATTCTATTCTAAGCCTTGCGCGCGAGAAGCTTGCACCTGAGGGGTGGTTGATATCGGAACGCAAGATTACGATGCCGCAGCTGTACGAGGCGTCCTTAGACGGGCGCTTGATCGAGGTCTTCGGCTCGGGAACGGCAGCCGTCGTCAGCCCCGTACGAAAGATCAGCTGGAAGGGCAAGCTGGTAGACTGCGGGCTAGCTGAGACCGAAGAGTCGGGCGAGGTCGCTAATAAGATGAAGAGCTGGATAGAAGCTAGGCAATACGGAGACGAGGAGCATGAGTGGAGTCACATATGTTAGAGAAAAAGCGAGTGTAGCATTTTTTTTTGGTCTTGTCACGAACTGTTCTATATCCTGATAGACGGTGTAGATCTGGCGCAATGGCGTACTCACTTACCTGGCCTGTTAAAAATATCGTTAAAAATAAAACCGATTCGAACAGGGATGACAAAACGTTCTAGAAAAGGCCGGTATAATGCCAGGTTAGACGAGAATTGCGCAGCAGAAGAAATTGAATTGTAGCTTATAGGTAGCTAGCCCCCCTCATCAGCTCGGGAGGCGGATCCGTCTATGATGGGTTTCTCTAATCGAAGCTTGACCGTCGCCAGAAGGGCGAGGCAGCACGAGAGTAAAAAAGGAAAGCCGGGTTTCATGTACAAATAGAGCCTCGAACTAGTGTACCGCAGTTTCATTCCCGTAAATCGCACTCTATATGGTTATGTTTTGGGATCCATCACTTCTTCTCGGGGTCCTCAAGGATGCCCTCAGCTTCTAACCTCCGTCGCGCCTCTTCTAGGGCCCACGTTTGTATTCTAAAAGCAAGTTATGTTAGCCGGTGTTGTAAGATTATCTCTGGGAGCTAGCTGTATTGGATAGGATAGGATAGTGCATAATGTATGCCATATCCCATGAACAATGGGGACAATATAGCGATCGTCCTAACCCCTTCTTCCTCCTCCTCCTCCATCTTATATCCCATCCAAGACTAAAAGCGTAAAACTCACGAGGTATCAGGCTTGAAGCCGTAGGCGACAGCAGCAAGAGCCAAGCTACCGCAGAACCCGTAGATGAAGGGGGTTTCCCATCCCTCCTTCTGGTACTTCTCGCCGGGCTTGACGCCGAACAACCAACCGGTCGGGGGGTCGTATTGAGGACCGTGGGAGGCCGGAGCGCGCGGGGTGGCCGAGAAGGGTCTGGTTGTGGTCTTTTGATTTTGCTGCAGGGCGCGTGTGGCCCGCACGGCGGCGTTTGGTCGGACGGCGGGCATGATATTGCTCGTTTTCTTGTTTGATGTGACTCGATAGGTCCCCTCTTAGTTTGGACCTTGCTCCTTTTCTTCTGCCTTTTTATTTTTCTCCCTTTTCCTTATCTAGTGTTCGTATTACTTCCCCGAGGATAATCGTAGGTGTCTTAGGGGAGGGAATAGGTGAGCGGGTGGTGGCGTATGTTGTATATTAGGATGTCGTGGTAGAGTGGAGATTGGACTCGTTCTCTGTCGAGATTCGATGGGTGAAGTCAGTTCCAGCAGTTGAGCGACTTAGCAGCCGAGCAATAGCCAATAGATTAACCAATGAACCAATGATAGTGGGTCTATAAAGCTTCCACGTGATCTGTAGCCGGGCAGCCGGGAAAACCCTTCTAGTCTTTCGGCTCCGGTAATTCCGATCTATTTATTTCCATTTGCACACCAAAATTTCTATTTCTTTTTTCGATTCTTTGTCAAAGCAACCACGCTTCTTCCCGAAACCTTAAACTGGCATTTAACTACACCTCCATTATTTTCAGTATTAATACATAGGTTTGTACTAATTATCGAACCTTTTCCCTATTATTTTAATGAACGACGTCAAGTCTTATGTACTGATACTGAAATACTAATGGAGGTGTAGTTGAATGCCAGTTTAGGGTTTAAGTCGCTAGGCTGTTCAATGTTATTTGGTGGAGATGTTACTGGAAGCAGTTAATAAGTATCGTATTGCTTTGTTTGTACGGCAAGCTACAAAAAATATCATCCCGAAATCACGAGATACTGTATCTTGCCATAGTATTTCGAGTGTCCTGATACTTTGCTCTTTGAAGTAACATCTCCACCAAATAACATTCAACGCCGCGCCATTGTCTTCCGTGGTGGCCACGCGAGTCCTCAGCCAGTCCTGAACCAGTTCTTTAGGCTAGCAGCAAGTGTAAGTTTGCTTTATTGCATTTCATTTTCTATTGCTTTCTTTATGATGATCCAATCTTCTAAGAACAGCCAACTGAACATCCATGTGGATTAAAATTCATCAAGCTCAACAGTCTGACTCATTAAGCATATATGCATTACATACTTGTTTGCCATTTCTAGCTCTGTTCTAGTGTTGCTAACTTGTATATACTAGGTTGTCGCCTTCACATTCATCCGGTGTATGTGTGGATTTACAGTTTTTAGTGTCATGTTGAATTATATCGCCAGCGAGCAGACATGGTAGGTGATATCTAGTGCATGAGAAATAGCACAGAGGACTGCCTGGATCCCCTCAACATCGCTTGGTTCTATAGATAGAGTCAAGTACGTAGATGAATAAATTAAACCTCGATTTTTACTGTCAAATGCATTTGCCAGTTCAATATACTATATCGTCTCAAGCTATGATATCTCACACAACCCTATCAAATACAATAACCCCCTCACTCCCATCCTCCAAGAACTCCATCTTCAACTTATCCACCGTCCCCTTAACGCCGAGTTCGAACTGAGCCCGAGCCCGCTGCCCGTTGAGCAAGTTGGGCGTGTTAAGCATATCGATGACCACCGCCCAGAACTCGCCCGATACGTGGTGGAAGTCGAACGTCATCTGCCACTCCATATCATCCCGCAGAGCTCCAAGTTCTCCTTTCGTATTTTTGGTCGAGTCCTCATCAGTTAGTTGTAGCGTGATGTTCTGATACGCCGGGTGGGAGTAGACTCCGACGTACTTCTCGAGTGGCAGCGCCTGAGGTAGCGGCGGGTCTGCGCGTTCCGGATATAATTCATGAACAGCTGTCTCGGCAAGCTTGAGTCGGGTGTTAAGTGCTTCCTCTCCCCTGTTTATTCATTCATATCAGTTCAGACCCCGTCTTCTTCGGAAAAGGGGGGGGCGAAACTCACCGGCTAATCCAGTCAAACCGCTCTTCTTCCGGGACTCCCAATTTATCGTCAATCAACTTCCACGCAAGCTCGGTGCCCACGAGATTGCTCGTCACCGCCGTGTTCCCTAGCGTAACCACTCCGTACTTTAGATCCGGCAAGAAGTAAACCTCAGCGCCGTATGCCTCCATGCCACCGCTATGCGTGAATATCCGCCAGCCCTTATACGTACTAAGTTCCCAACCGAGCGCGTACGCCAGCGGGGCGTCGAAATTGATCCCCATCTCGGGCGGCATCGCGATACGAGCTAATTTAAGCTCGCGGTGTGCCTCCTTAGGCAAGACCGGACAGCCGTTTTCGTTGTCGTCGTCGCTACCATCGCCGCGGATCAAGCACCGGATCCATCGTGCATAGTCCAACACATTGCTCACGATACCACCAGCGCCGCTCGCGAGATCAAGGCTTCCGTACGGAACCGAGATAAAGCCCTGGCCCTTCCCATGTCCATCCGCTTCCCCTTGATAATCCCAATAATACCCACGCGCCACCTCCCTCCCCGCGTCCAGCGCCTCTTCCACACTTAAATACGTAGCCTCCATACCCAGCGGACCCCAAATCCGCTCACGCATCACATCACCCAGCCCTTTCCCCGTGAGAGTCTGGATCACATGCGTGGCCACCATGTACATGAGATTGCAGTAGCGCCAGACGACCCGCGGCTCCGCCACCACGGGCAAGTACCTCAGGCTGCGGACGACGTCGCGCACGGTGGCCGGGCTGCTGCGATCCGGCCCGTACTTTCTGGCGAGCGCCTTGTCGTGCCGCGGGAACCCCGTGCGGTGCGAGAGCGCGTCCTCGAGCGTCAGGTGCGCGGTCGCCCACTCGTACCCCGGCCCTAGGACGAAGTCGTCCCGGATTATGTGCGAGATGGGCGTCTGCCAGCTCAGAGGGGAGGAGGAGGATGGTTCCTCGGAGGACGGGAAGTCGCCTGATGCGATGAGGAGAGATAGGATAGCTGCTGTGAATGCTTTGGTCGTGCTGCCGGTGTAGTATAGTGTTGATGGCGTCGCGGGCGTTGAGGGGAAACTAGCGATGCCATAACCCTATGTATATTGTTGGCTTACAGTTTGTATTTGCATGGTATCATAAGAATTGTAAATATAAGGGGCAGCCTCCCCTTTGAGACCTCGGTTTTCAGAGACGGTATAAGCCATATATCCGTTTGACGTGATACCTGACATATAATAAGAAACACATATAACAAACCTCAGCCCATATATCCTCCCCATCGACAACGGCAACCGACACCCCCGGGACTTTCCAGCGGTCGAGCACCGCCTTTGCAAAAGCCTCGAAATCGGAATCAAACGGGGGTTTCCTCATATCGCCCTTCTCCTCTTTTCCAACAGACAGAACCTTTTGCTCAGTATGCTCCAGCTCCAGCAATGCAAGCGCAGTGCTCGCCGCCGGCAAAAGGATCCCGAGTTTCATCTAAGGCCGAGGCTGTTGTGTAGTTAGTATTTATATACCCAGAGAGGTAAGTGAAAACGCTTAAATGTATAATTACCTACGTTAGGTACTTCTAAGTTTACCACTTAATAAATAAATAAATATTTCAACATTTGGATGTTTTGGAAAATATAATTAAGTGAGAACCTTATTCATTATATGTATGAGCTATCTGGGCAGGTATAAACATATTCGTCTTATATTTACGGTTGCGAAGGAGAATACCTAGAAGCTAAGAAGGGACGCTCAATGTTACCAACTCGGGAGTTTGTTGAGAACCCCGCCTTACGATTTCGACATGTCTCATATAACTCGTACGGCGGTGAGATTCCTTGCATTTTATTTACTCTTAATAATATATGAATGTCGACAAGAGGTACTTAATGATGCGTATAATGAACGCCTTAAATTTTTAATAAGTAGCCCGTCACACCTTATCCAAAGATGCTTATGTACGGACATACCAGCAAGCAAGAAATACATATCACGTAGGTTAGAAGATAACAGTTCATAAGCTTAAGGCGTTATCAAGACCAGGCCAGCAGTACATTACATATACACATAGCCGCGTAACTCATTTAGGTAGTCGAATGAAGAAAAGTCCCATGCAACCTTGCAGTTGCCCTCTGAACTCTTTTCTTGTTCGGGTATTTTCTCTATAAAAGAACCGCACCTAGAAATAAAACCACCACTACCGCCAACACGCCATCCCATCCGCCTTGGTCATAATCATCTCACGTCGAATGCAGCCCGTTGCACGTAGAGCCAACGAACCCGATCTCGTTATGTCAAAATAAAACCCCTCCCGAGGAGAGGGTTTGCCATATGCAACTGTAATATCTCGACCTTTGTACACTGGCCAACTGTCTAAACAGCTAGTTCCAGGATGTAGTATTGAGTCTCTTCTTGACACGACGGTAAATAAAGTCGACGTGTTCATAGAATAAAGATCTCTCTACACGGGTCACTGCCATCTAAGTTTCATCCGTTTCCTTCCCCTGTAATAATCCAATACTCTCGGTTGTATGATAGTATAAGATTACCTTTTGCTAAGAGCCCTCGTTACTCGACTTGTCTCTCGGCTCCGATAAATAGTTAAAGCAGCAAATTAAGTTAACTGGTCTTGCGGCTAACGAGGTTTAAGTGGTACCTCAAAACAGTCAAAGGGATCGTAAAATTGTTAGCCCTTTTAAAGCTCTTCATCTTCGCCGAACTGGTGAACTTTAGTTTGCTCTTCTTTTATCCTCTTCTCCTGATCCGCAGTAGCTCTGCCTAACACATCACCCAAAGCCGACGGGAAATTGATGGAACGATCTGGTGTCTCGTCATCTGCACGTTGCTTTTTTAGAGGACTTCCCACGGTTGCCTCGCCATTAAAAGCATTCGCAAGCAGATTTGCAACGGAGTTAGGCATAGGCTGATTGCTTGACGTAGAATCCGTAGGAGTCGGCTCTCCGCCGGTGGGACCTGCGCTGGGTGACTTTTGAGAACCCGACGCACCTGCAGCGTCTGGTTCTGTAGAGTGCTGTCTCTTAAGCTATCGCATGCTTCTTAGTGATACTATACGTAAAATTATAAGGTGTCAACTTACACGAATACGATCGATACCGGCTTGTAGCTCCCCAGTAACCTTGGCATCTTCCGGTGCTAGGTGAATCTTGACGTCCTTATCGTCAGAATCTTCCATTTTAACCAGAGGAATATTATCGTTATCATCATCGTCATCACTGTCTTCGTCCATGAGGTTGCCGTTGACACCATTACTCTTCCTGCGGGCCTTTCTCCTTTTCGCAGCTTCAGCTTCCTGGTCTCGGAAAGCCGAAAAGCCTACTGTACCAGTAGTTTTGAGAGGACCGAGCCCTGAAAAGTCGAGTTGGGTTGACCGCCGCTTTGTACCAGGCGCCTTCTGGTCGCCTTTTGAACTGGGGAACAATCCCATCTTGCTGAGTTGACCTAATAACGTGTCAGTGGTGAATGAATGTAAAGCTCGAATAAAAGTTGCTTACGTTGGCCACGGTAGAAGAATGTAAATACCGCATAGGGCTTATCCGGTCCGTCTATGCCAGTCACGGTCTGAGTACTGATTGTCTTAGGATCGAGCGTCTTGGGCTTAGCAAAACTAGTGGTATGCTCAACGTCGGCGTCGATCGCTCCGTTATTACCCCCCTTGGTCCCACTATCGCTCTCGTCATCATCATCGTGGGCATCGAACTGTGGTGAATATTCTCCCTTCTTAATCTCTCCAGAGGCGATCACGCGGAACATGGCCACTTTGATCTGGCCAGTAGCCTCGGGGGGTTCGTCGTCGTCGGACATAGAAGAGTCGTCCGAATCATCAGGGGTTGCTACCGGTGACTGGTCCTCTCCCCCATACGCCAAGGTATCGCGGGGACGAGGGGTCTTCTCCGTTTCTGCGTCACCGCCGTGAGGGGTGGACCTATGGCGGCGATGACGTCGCTCAAACTTCTGTCTTCGTTTCTCGACTTTCTCCGCGGCATCGTGGCCCTTGAGATCTAGACCATTAAGCCATCGTTCCAAGCCGACCTCTCGGAATAAAAATTCACGTTCGGCGAGGCCACCACCTTCGCTCTCTGGAACTTGAACCCAACGACTATTTACCCATGTCTCTTCTCCCGGTCGTAGTAGAGTGGCGACTTCTTCCTTAGCTCGTCCGTCAAAGTAGATGTATGCAGCAATGGTTTCGTTCTCCGAATTCGTCATAGGAATATACGGTGCGACTGTGTTGGCATGTTTGGAAGGATCAGAGCCTGTGGATATCAGAGGTCCCGCGTAGAGAGGCTTCGGGTAGGGATTGGCTGCAGTCGGTTTCGGAGCTGTATAGGGAATGGGATGGCCGGGTGTTAAGAGCGTTATCGAAATGGCGAACTTGGCTGCCTCATGTTTAGAGGTATCCGGGTTTAGCTGAGGTTGAGGAACAGGTATGTATGTGCTGATGCGAGATAGACGAGACTGCTTTTGCATGCCATATTCTGGGAGCGGGGCAGAATTCGCATGAATGCTCACGGCGATGCCCTTGAAGCAGGGCATCGTTACTAGATATAGACCGTAGTATCGGACAAAGTAACAGAGGGGTTTAAGAAGAGACGCGAGGGTTATCGCTGTCGCTGTCGTGTCAGAAGGGAGGGTAGTCGAGGAGGGGTGATGAAGAATATAGAGGCCTGGTAAGAAAAAAAAAAAAAAAAAGGTCTGAGAGCTGTTTGTAGACGAAGACTCGATAAGATACTGTGCGAGTTCGGGGGTCGCTCGATCGCCAGTTTATAATTGTCGGTCTAGGTTTTGGTAGAGAGCTGTAGTGGAAAGTGGGAAAATGGTAGGGGGGTGAAAGAAACGGAGGTTTTAAGAAGTTAAGAGGTTGCTTGTTGAGAGGTTGCTTGGGTTAGGTATGTACAATACGTATGTACAATACCTAAGGAAGAGGAACAGGAACAGGAACAATTTGCAGGTCCTCCCCGGCGGTGTGCAAAGTTGCTAACGAAGCTATAAGAACCGGCGTAACGTATTGAACTGCGAACCAAAAACCAAATATTTCTTACGAAGCAGTTGCTTATTTTTATATATAATATGCAAATGCTTCGTATTTAATTTTGACGCTTTTTATTGAGGTCGAATTAAAGTGAATTGGTTAAAGGTCAATGGGGACAAGCAAGCGGAAAAGAATTCACTGTCCAAACCAGGGATTCAAGACTATTAATGCACCATAGAGTACCGAGGTTTTGAGTCAAAAAAAGGTCTTGGTAGCAAGAATGGTCGATGAAACTGTGTGCATGTGTATATGTCTTGCAACTCTTAAAGCTGCAATGTATTTATACGTAGAAATCGTAAAAAAAGTGCAGAAAGCGTAGAAAGCTATCGTGGGTAGAAAAAAAGGGTAGGATACCTAAGTTTTAGAATTAGGGTCAAAGCAAATGAATGGCTGCTATTGCATCTAGTGGGCAGCAGTAAGTAGTACCTATGCAGCAGTACCTAGCAGTAACAGTAGCAGTAATAGCAGTATGAGGTAGGTATGCAGTGGCAGTATGTAGTGGCAGAATGACAAAAAAAGCGAAGATTATTACATGTTGCAATGAGAAAAAAAAAGAGTTAGGTCGAGTCCTGGTAGGTCAGTTGTTAAGCCATGGCCCAATGGCGGGGGAGACTAGAAATTAATTGATTGGCTAACCGCGATTCTGGGACCACCCTCGTCACCTGAACACGTCAAAGCTGCTACGAAGCTGCTACGAAGCTGCGCTACGCTGTCTTAAGCTGACTTACATGCAACAGATGCATACATTGACCTCCGTCTTGGACTTAATGGATATGCAATGTATCGGTCCGCTTCAAACCTTACATCTATGTACCTAACTAGTGTACCTACTGTGACTATGTACATGTACCCAACCGTAGTCTACATAATTCAGCCACCTCCGTATTTAATATATTACCTTAGGTAGTTTATATATCTACCTATTCATATAGAGATATCTTGCTTGCATCTCTGAATAGATAGATTACTGAGATATGCCGGTGTTACGGTTAGGTGGTTAGTCTTTTGGTATTTGGAGAATGTGGAGAAGAACAGTAGGTACATGCCTGCCTACATAGATACCTAAGATACCTCATACATACATAAATTTATTATCATGTGGCACCCTTGGACTAGTCAAGCAGCGACTCGGCATTTCTATAATTTAAACTGGATAACTCACCATGATACGTGGCGAACATGTTTGAATTAAGTAGGCTCGAGAGGGGCATCTCAAGTCTACACTAACAAATTCTTCCCTTATCAAGACCTGCCTCCTCGCGATGATCGTCTGCGTATACTGCCCCCTTTCTCAAAACTGGAACTAGTACCGGCACCCTTCTCCCTCCAAACATCTTCCCCATCATCCTCATCATCCGCTGGTTGATCTGCCAGCGTTTCTCGTTCCGGCGTCTCTTCCTTGATATCCACATCATCATCGTCGTCGTCGTCTTCTTCTTTCTTAACCATTTCCTCGCCCTCACTATAAGAGTCTCCCGCCCCGTCGTGGGAAAACGCCGCAGGAACGGGAGGCGGGCCCATCCAAGGGTCACCTCTAGGTCTGGGGTTTAGTTTATCTTCCGGCTCTTTAGGTTTCTGGTTTGAGATGAGGGAGCTTAGGATAAGCCACGCCAGTCCCGTCGATAGTATCTCGGCTATCCAGAAAACAGTTGTGCAGACTACAAACGAAATGATGCGATGATTATACATGGCCCAGCGGATCCCCGTCAAACGGGCGACCAGCGTGATAGTAGTTGAGTACACCTGGAGTGTCTGACCGGCTTGTACTTCCACTAGTATGCTCATCGGGAGGATTTTGTTGAATTCAACGAGCTCGCCCATCGGAACCCTAAGTGTTATCGTCTCCGATGCGCTAGGGTATAGGATATGGTATGGTAGGAAGAGGACACGCGACACCGTCTTCACGAGGGGGTCTGTATATGGGATCAAGACGGGCCGGCGGCTCGTGAAGACTACGGTATCTTCCTTGACATGCGAGAAGGGGTCCTCTCCCGAAAAATAGTAAGCGAACGCTGGGTTGCTTGGCTGGCTCTTTATCCCGAATAGAGTGACCATGAAATTCCCCCTGTCGAGATTCGAAGGCGATCGTGGTAATGTTAATTCTACTGATATATCATAGGCCTGCTCGTGCATGAGGTTCGACGAGACCGATGTGACACCATAAGGGTTCAGGCCGGAGCTATTGGAATAATACCGCACATTAATTTCTACAATCACAAGAGAGAGGAAAGGCCCTTACTCATATTGTAGGTGTATAGGGAGTGATATAACCTTCTTAGGCACGTAGTTATAGTAGAAGACGGGATAGGCCAGAGCAGCAATAAATAAAAGCACCAAGGACGCGGAGAAGAACAGTGCAGCGCTGAGATATGTCCTCTGGGCAACTGGAGATGTTGCAGCTCTATAAGAGCTTTTTACATATTCCTATGTCTATAATCAGCGAAACGGATATCTATAGCGAAAGCTACACTCTTCGGCTTGAATGCTTGAAGCTTCTCATATATGTAGTATAGGTAAGCATGTGACTTACCATTTTTCTAAATAATGTAGCAACGCCATGCGATGCTGGACCTTGCAATGCTCCTGAATTCGCGTCGTTGAAATAAGCAGCACAAATAATTAAGAGTAGAAGAGTTGTAAGTTAGAATCATAATAGACTCTAAAATTGAGAGAGTCGAGGCATGTGATGGCGTTTGGGTTTACAAGGTATGCACCGTTATTAGCGGCTTGTGGCACGTTAGGTACGATGGAGAGCTTGACGGAGTTCTTGGCAGCCAGCATGCCTCCTATGTATGTACCTAATGTAGTAGGTTAGAGTTCCAGCTGCCCCTCTGCGACGGGTGCCAACGTCATGCTGATGACTAACCTCATCGTTAGGTACATATATTATGTAACTACATCTAGATTGTAAAGAGGAATACCTACATGTATCACCCAGTGTAAGTACCTCTGAGCTTCAATCATTGGATATTTTATATCGTCGCAAAGAAGCAATTTCTTATTTCTTATTGATAATGGTAATTAGGTATTAATAAAAAAAAAGTCAAAATGCAATCTCGTATTAACTCCCCGTTCTTTAACGGCCCTAGATAGCCTAACTGGCAATGAATAATAACTTGTAGGTATCGAACGCTCCCCCGAACGAGCGAAAGCCTGCTCTCCCCAAGAACAGACGACCGATAATTCAACCCAACCAAATAGTCGCCTGCCTGCTTGCTGACCCATATGTGCTCATCACACCCCATAACATACGTATTCACATCAAACAACATCAAACAACGGGCAAATACCAACTTTCATGAGCCTCGTCAGTCTTTATCTCGTCAATCAAGAGCAGAGCCAAGGGACCCTTTATATGCTGACCTTAACAAGGCTGCAGATAATTACTAGGTACCAACCCGCCTCTACCAACACCTTGTCCTGAATGAATTTCAGCTTCCCACCACCCGTCATCCTGGTGTCGGAGAACGGCCAGGATATCTCCCTTGGCAAATCCAAGTTCCTCGGGGATTGCTGCTTGGTACATATACAACGCTCGAGCTATAAAATTGTTAGTATCTGCATAGTTTGTACCAAGAAAAAAGAAAAGAAAAAATAAACATACCGTAGTGTAAAATGGCGCGGCCCTCTGGCGTGTACTGCCGGCTGGGGTCTGCCACGCTCTGGCTTCGCTGTCTCGAATTCTCTGTCGCGGGATCTCGTCCGTCATAGAAGGTCATGGCCCGTGAGCTCGCACTTGTACCAGGCCTGCTACCGTTTCCTCTTCCACGCATTGATCCGTACACGGACCCATCTCCAACTGGAGCAAGTTGCATAGCCATTTCTTCAGCCCTGCTGGTTGGGCGGTTGTAATCGCTATTGTATATGGATGGGGACTTCGCCCTCATAGAATTGCTCGGCGACTGATGCCCGTAGTATCCCTGTTCCGACCCGCGCTTCACTGACATACTAGGTTGTGGTGAGTGTTGTTGTTGAGAGCCACCATACGAGATTGGCGATGCTGGCTGAGGTGAGTTTCCTCGTCGCTGGGTCGCACTATACGAAATCGGCGATGCCGGTTGTGGTGAATTTCCTCGCCGTTGAGTTGCACTATATGAAATGGGTGACGCGGGTTGCGGCGAGTTGCCTCGCCTTTGGGTTGAACTATAAGAAACTGACGATGTTGGCTGCGGCGAATTTCCCTGTCTTTGGGTTGAACTATAAGAAACTGATGGTGCTGGCTGTGGTGAATTTCCCCGTCGCTGAGTTGCGCTATATGAAATCGGAGACGCCGCTTGTGGTGAATTTTGCTGCTGTGTACCACCATACGTACTAGGTGAAGCTGTCTGTGGCGAGTTACGGTATTGGCTACTACTGTAAGGATTTGGCGATGCTGACCGTTGGCTTTGGCGTGTCTCTGACTGACGTGTCTCAGGGTGCATCCCAGGCCGAGGAGAAGCGCCCCGTGGAGGCGCCGGTGATGCTGCACGAGGCATTTCACTGCCTCTCGTCGTAGGTCGTGAAGGAGTACCACTGAACGACTGCGTCCCACTGTATGCTCCAGGCCCAGGACGCTTCGCGCTGAACATATCTCTGGTCTGCTCTACATATTTTCGCGACGCCTCCTGCATTGCTTTAGATGTAACGGCTGGAGGCGGGACTCCAAGTCTTTGTATCTGCATATCGTATGACGGCGGTGGGGTGCCTCTCATACCAGCGGCCACATCGCTGCTTTCTCTGGATACAGGTACGGAACGGGACGGCGCTTGAGATCTGTCGGGTACAGGTGTAGCGATACCGTGATAGTGATCGGCTGAGATTCGTCCAGCAGCTTGCTTGTTACTAGCAACACCCTTCAACTCCGCTAGGGCTTGAGCGATGGGATCTTGCTCCTCTTGTGGAGGTGTATTATCATCGTTGGCCTGTTTTCTTTTATCGGTATTGGCTACCGGGAATACGTTCTGCCCAATATTCAGGGCTAGGCTTGCATTCGCTTCAATAGGTTCGGGACTCGCTGTCTTTTCTATTCTGTCTGCAATAGGGTTCTGAGACACCGGGTTCTGAGGCTCTGGTGGTTTAAAAGCTTGATTGCGCCGAGAGCTGACCGTGCCGTGAGTACTCATCGCACTCTGCGAAGCCACAGGTCCCCAAGTATTTCTGTTTGACGCCTTCACATCTTTGATGCTCTTTCTACGGAACGGGCTGTGATTCTGAAAGAATCCGCTCTTCTTTTTTTGCATTTGCTTTTCTGGCTGTGCCACCACCACGGGCTCCTGCTTTACCGGTGACACTTTACCGCTTTGTGGCTCTTGACTAGAGAAAGACGTTGGGTTCGAGTATTCGCTATTATCATCGCCGCTTGAAGGCCGTGCTGATAAATTCGAGCTCGTCGCTGAATTCATGCCATCCGTGCGACATAGCATTGTCATACCGTCCATAGGATACGGATCGTGGGGTACAGGTGCAAATTTGGAAGTATCATATGGCTGTACCCCATTGCTCCCTTTCCGACGATCTTGTGGAGCCATGACGGCCACTGAGGTGTTCTGTGGTGATATAACTGACTCCCTACTGGAAGTTGGTGGTGGCTCATTTCGTGGTGGATCTCGTGGAGTAGGAGGATTAGTATCGTGGCGTTGAAGGTCCCTAGTAAAAGAGGCATTTGGTTCATGACGTTGCATATCCCGAAGAAATGAGGGACTAGGATCATTACGCTGTATAGGAGGATTAGGATCGCGGCGTTGAATCTCTCTTGTGAGAGAAAGATCAGGTTCGTGGCGCTGTACTTCTCGGGGCGCTTCTCGGGGTGCTTCTTGCGGAATTTCACGGGGGATTTCCCGTGGCATTTCCCGAGGTACTTCGCGTGGTATTTCTCGTGGTATCTCCCGAGGCATCTCCCGCGGCATCTCTCGGGGTATTTCTCGGGAAATGGGGGGATTGGGATCGCGGCGTTGGATTTCTCTTGTCATGGGGAGGTCAGGTTCACGACGCTGCACTTCCCGAGTATATGAAGGGACAGGGTCGTGGCGTTGAATCTCTCTGGTAAGAGAAAGGTCGGGCTCACGACGCTGCGTATCTCGAGGAAATGAAGGAGGAGGTTCATTCCGCTGCATATCCCGCGTAGGAGGGGGATTGGGGTCTCGGCGTTGGAGATCTCGAGCGAGTGCCGAGTTGGGATCATGATGAGATTCGTACGTGGATGGCTGAGGTGAGGGAGCACGGAAGCCGGGGTTGATGCTTTGAGGATATTGCTGCGGTTGTATGACACTTCCTCGTCGCCCATCCCGCTGAGCTATGGCGTAAGTCTGAGCCTTCGGCGGAGGCATAATTAGATCCCTGCTAGAGGGCGGAGGAGGTTCATGATGGGCCAGATCTCGAGCAAGAGCGGAATTGGGATCATGATGCGATTCGAAGGTAGATGGCTGGGGGGAAGACGTGCGAAATGCAGGATTGATACTCCGCGGAAATTGTGCTACTGAATAGTTCTCATCTTCGGAGACTTCTGAATGAGTGTCTTCCACATCCCCACGGCAGAAGTTGATATACTTGGGTGGATCTGGGATTTCTTGACCGGTACCCCTCTCGGTAATGAAGTGGATGATGTCTTTTTCCACATCCATCTTTTCTAGAGACAAACGAATCTTCTCGCACGAAGCATCATCGCTAACGCAGACTGTGGAGGCAATGTTGGCGAAAGTCCATAGACTGCTCTTGGTGAAGTCCAATCTCTCCTCCTCGAGGTCCTGGAATTTGTCGGCGGCCGCTTTCCACTCCCTATTCCACCTGGCGGTCGTCTCCTCGAGGACTTTAACTGCGTTCTCATATTCGGTGTTAGTTGTAGCAAGACTGATCTGTGTCTTCTCTAATCTAGCCTTGTTTTTTCTTTCTTCCTGGCCCATAACCATATGTCCCTGGGCAAGGTAGCCTTTAATTTTTAAACAATCTTGCTCATAGCGATCACGGGTCTGGGTGGGGTTTGTTAGTTGCCAGGGCCCAGGGGTTATCATTTGGATGCATGGGTGGCACTGACCTTATTCACCATGTTCGTTTGCTGTATCTTGATCTTGAGAAGTTTCTCTACCGTATTTTGGACGATCTTGCGTCTCTCTTTCATTCCTCCTGCAAAGGCGGCCAGCGGTTCCTCCAACTCGGTCTTCATCTGAGCAGCGATGCTAGCATGTTGCTTCGCCATGGATTCGACTTCTCCTCGCATAGTATCAAGTGAAACTTTCAGGCTTCCCATTTCGTGGGTACCCAACGATTTTCGGCTTAACGACATGAGCTTGCGTGCGTATTCATCTTCGATAGAGGCCCGGGCTAGCAACACGGACCAATTAGTGGTAAAAAGTAAAAATAGTCAGAAAAGACTTACCACTATAGAAAGATCTAAGCTCATCGCTGGTCTGCTTCGCAGAGGCCATGCGATCAAGCAATGGCCCTACACCAGCGTCATCTTTGCCCCAGAAGTTATTGGCAACTATTTATACAATATTAGTATACCTCGAAATTCTAATTCGGCTTCAAGAGTATATTTCATACACGACAGGGAAACTGTCGGGCCATCTGTGGCCGTAGGCATCCTCCTCGCTTCCCTCGCAAAAGGCAACAATGTTCTCTATATTTTCGGTCGGAAATGTCGGTGAACCTAACCGTGCGCTCGTTTGGAACGGTAAGATGGTCAATAGGCTCGAAATGTCTCGAAATTAGATTATCAGTGATCGGCGAGAACGCAGTTCTGCCACGAAAGAAAAGGCAATAGTTAGTATTAAGTTTTCAGGAATGTGCAGACGTTGAAATTGTAAAATGCATAGCACATGGTTTCAAGATACTACATGTATGTAGAGGTTGCAGACCTGCAGGAATTGTTTACAAGTGGTAACGTCGTTGCCCTAGAGATGGGGTAATGGGTAATGTACTTGTACTTAGGGGCCTGAAACTGGGAAATCGTAGGTTTAGCGTATAATTGTGGGGTGTATGTAGCTTACTGACACATCACAGCGCTAAACTTGATAGATTATCTGATTACAAGGGCCAACTGCAGAATTGCAGGGGTATATTTCTAGACCCTTTCAACATTTCTTGCAATTATTGACAGATCCAACAACATTGAGACATTACGATCAAGAAATGCACACTTTGCAAAATTGTTTCTAAAAATAGTTCATTCCACATTAAAGATTAAAGATTATTGAATATCGTCAAAGAAAAGAAGAAGAGTACACCATACGATCTGAGGAATCATTATTAAAGTCGATAGGATAGCGGGACGCATACTTCGTACTCTTATCGCGATGATGATGCGTGTTTGCATTGCGCCGTCGAAGAAACTTCACCTAACCCCTTTATCCAACTGACACGCTCCCCTTAACCCTTTTCCATGAGTTAATTGATTTATACTCGCAACTTCTATTCTCAATCCTTGAAATCATCTGTAGTTGATCCAAGTCGATCCTCTGCTCCCGATGCGGGGAATGCTCTAACCTAGCGGGCTCAGCGATGCCGACCCCCATTGCATCACGTAGCGTCGGCACTTGATACCGGAGGGTATTCACTCAATTCGTGCTGCTATTGTACCCATGCGGAACCCATTAGCCCGGAAAGGTATGTAAGTATAGATCCTGCACGACTCGAATCTAATAAGTAGGTGCCTACCCGGAACCTCTCGAGGATTGCTACCTTGGATATTGTCAGTTAGGATACATAACTGCTGTTCGCTATAAATAAATATCCTACATTCCAGTGTCATAGCATAATATCGAACATGGAGAGTTTTGAATATAATTCTAGTCCCGCTCGTATCGTCTTCGGGTGCGGTACTATCAAAAAGGTTCCAGAAGAGCTTCGACGGGCAAATGTATCTAAGCCTTTTCTTCTCAGCACGCCTCAGCAGGTGAGCCATATCGACTTACTCAAGGGTGTTCTCGGAGATGTCGTCTCCGGAGTATTTACTGAAGCAACAATGCATACTCCAGTCGAAGTGACTGAGAGGGCGCTCGAGCAAGTTAAGTCCTCAAGGGCCGACTCCGTTATTTCCATCGGAGGTGGTAGCACAGTGGGCTTGGGAAAAGCACTCAGCATTCGGACGGGTCTCTTTCACTTGACTATCCCTACGACCTACGCTGGTAGTGAGGTTACGCCAATTTTGGGTGAGACAGATTCTGGAAGGAAGACGACAAGATCCGATCCGAAGATATTGCCCAGCACGGTCGTTTATGATGTTGATCTCACCATGACCCTTCCGGTTGGTCTTACTGCTACAAGTGGCGTTAACGCCATAGCGCATGCTGTCGAAGCGCTGTATGCTCGTAATACCAACCCGGTTATTAATCTCCTTGCTCAAGAAGGGGTAAAAGCTCTTGCAAGCTCCCTCCCTGTCCTGGTCTCTGATCCATCGTCGCAAGAAGCACGCTCATCTGCCTTATATGGCGCATGGCTTTGCGGTATTTGTCTCGGCAGTGTCGGGATGTCTATCCATCACAAGCTCTGCCACACCCTAGGGGGCAGTTTTAACCTCCCGCACTCTGAGACGCATACCATAGTCCTGCCACACGCATTGTCATATAATGCCCCGAAGGTCCCTGGGGCAATGGAAGCATTGGCTGCCGCATTGCCGGAGAGTGAAGGCGACGCCACGAAGGGACTAAATATTCTCTTACAGAAGTTGAAAGTAGAAAGGGGACTGAAGGCTTTAGGGATGCAAGAGAGCGACATAGATAAGGCAGCAGACATAGCAGTGAGCAACCCTTATTGGAACCCTCGGCCTATCGAAAGGGGGCCGATAAGAGAGCTGATCCGACGAGCTTGGGCTGGAGAAGAGGCAAGGGCTGATTTGTAATACGAATAATTGGATGATCTTGTACCACTATCTCGCATCAATATACTGAATATAGTACCTAGCCACTCAGATCTTGCAAGATGTCATAGGAAAGTATTAGATCTATTTGGATTCATCAACTATCCTGACGTTCTGCGGGATATCAATCATGAATGTAAATAAAAGTTTCCTTACGCAGGACCTATTCTTCCCCATCCCGCTTCCTTATAAACTCCGTCCTGAAATCTAGTCCCGCATCTTCCCTCACAACCCCATACAACGACGAGGAGTCAAGCCTCCTGCCCCCATTTCTTTCCGAGTACCCCTTCGCCCTACGTAGGTGCTCGAGCGCCGTATTAGCAACTTCAAGCCGGACACCTGCGCGCGCGGCGCAGTCAACTCCGTGTCCTACGTCCTTGAGCGCGAGTTCCAGGTCCGACCACGGCGCCTGGTCTTTCCCTGGGGCGTATACACCCGTCGTCATACGAACCGAGTCCGAGTGCGCGACGGTGCCGAAGTTGAGCTCCAGCAGGCGTTCTAGTGCGGCCGAGCCCAGCCCCGTCTTCTCGGCGAAGACGTGCGCTTCTGCTATGAGCTCCATAAGTCCGGCCATGAGAAAGTTTCTATTTACGAGGGAGGGTTTAGTTGAGTTAGCGAAGCCGGTTATTCTGGTTGGGCTGGCAAGCAACGTGATAGAGAAGATAGAGAAATCGTACCCTGTTGTCTTTAGCAAAGTAGCTTTTTCAGGCTCCTCGCCGACGAGCAAGACTTCGCGAGCGATGACTCCTTTAAGAAAAGGGCCGACTTTTTCGTAAGCAGCATTCGAGCCTCCGAATGCGACGAGTAGTTGTCCTGCTTCAGCCACCGGCGTCGCACCGAACACAGGCGCAGCAACGAACTCAGCACCCCTATCTTTCAACTTTGCAGCCAGCGCCTTGGTAGTATCAGGGTGGATAGTAGTGGTATCAACCACGATCTTGTCCGTTACATCCCCCGAATCTAGGATCTGTGCTATAATTGACTCCACGGCTTTGTCGTCACTTGCCTATTTCCACCTCCCGGTTAGTAAAGGGTATTTAAGTCGAGTTTGGGTAAGACTCGCTGATATGAATATCACATCGCTTTCGCTGGCAACTTGCACTACATCCTGGCGCCGAATTCCTCCAAGTGCTGCGAGCGTATCGCCACGGGAAGCTGTCCGGTTGAAAAATCGTAACGGCTCGCGCCCCTGAGATGAAAGATACCTATGGATATTCTTTGCCATAGCACTGCCCATGCTGCCGAGGCCGATCCATCCCAAGCGTAGGCCTGGTGGAGCTACGGTAGTTGTTGAGGTCATTTTTCTTCTCTAATTTCTAAAACGATTGAATTTAATCAGTACAACTTGAATCGCACGGCGATAGATATTTCATTGCAGTGGTATGATATAAACTACCTAGGTATGTAATGGAAGTGGCCGGTGATATACTAGAGGTGGCCATAAACATGGCCGAAGCGGAGACTAGTTGACTCACAATGCCTACTAGGTAGCATTGTCAAATAGGATCGTAGGATTGAACTAGCATGCGGCGACATTCCGAACTCATCGTATAGAAATCTACCTACTTACCCACTTATATCTAATTGGGCTACTGGTCTATAGAGCTTAGAAATGTTATATTACGCAGGTAAACGTACTCTAGTTCCACTGGGACGAAGTCAGACAAATATAAGTGACGTTAATCAATACAAATAGTGACCAAAATACATCTCTTTTAGCTACCAGTCTTGAGCAAAGATGGCCTCCATGCCTGGATTATGTTCATTAATATACGAAGCTCCTGGCTTCTACTATATCGTCATCTATAATATTCACATACTTAAATACCTATGCTAAACCATTCCATATTGCGCCCATCCAGTCAGGTCATAAGACTAATGACGGATCACAGCCGCCTAGCTTTGCGCTCTTCGGCTCCCCGTCCAAGATAATCTCGCTGACGAGCTTCCCTGTCGCAGGCGCATTCTGTATACCCCAGCACGTATGCCCTGCGGCAACGATAAGCCCCTTAGTGCCCACTTCGCCTATATAAGGTCCCCCTTGAGGTAGATAGCACGCCTGCTTCGCAAGGACCTCGCCGTCCTTGCCGAGCTCGTCACTTATGCCGCCGAGTTGATATATGATGTCCTCGCACCGGGCCACATCGACTTCGACCTCGGCGGTCGTTAGTGGTAGTTCGACCATATCATCCGTAGGCCCACAAGCGTATGCGGTGCCGTCTGGCCGCGCGTAGATTTCAGGTTCAACAATTTGTTGGCCCCTCAGCGGCCGATGTGCACCCGGCGCTCCTCTAGAGTCTCTGGGTGTTGGGGTAGGGAAGCCATTTGGGAGCATGATTGAAGTGAAGAGCGCGTACGCGGACACGGGATTTGGCGTCTTAACGACGACACTGTGAGCCCGAGCTGCCTTAATGGGAATCTCGGGCAGGAGACGTGGTGTCCACGGCCCGGCAGCTACCACACAATCCGTTGTCGGCAATATTTCTTCCTTTCCATCTTTCTCGTATGTCACGCTCTCTACGCTTCCACCATCTGGCGTCTTGTTGATGGCTGTGACCCTTGCGCCCGTCACAATCCTGACCCCCTTTTCTTCAGCCAATTGAGCCATGCTTCTGGTGAACAGTTCAGGATGTACCTGAGCTGTATTATCCGGGGTACCCATTCCCTCGTAAGCAGTCAGCGCATTCTCAGTATCTAGCCAATCCAGATCTTCAGGGGCGCCAAGTTTCTGCAGCGCTTTGATTTCTTTCTTGTGGTTTTTATGTAGTCCCTTTGAACGCTGCTCTGGGCCATTGTTGACGAGTTCCGCCTCGCCTATATTCTTCCCATCCGCCACTCTACTGCTGAATCCGGGTGGGAGACGGGCCTGGCAATCGATCTGACTTGCATAACATCGTCTATACCCCCATCTCTTATCGCCGCCGTATTCTTTCGCAAGCTCATCGTGTAGTTGGAAGCTTAAGGGTACGATGTTTCGAGGGAAAGCCCACAGCGCAAGCAAGCCACCTGCCTTACCGCTTGCGCCTCCGGCAATTCCGTCGTGAGCGGGGTTCCTCTTTGATGCAGTCTCGGGATCAGCCAACGTAGCCGGATCAGTGATACTGTCCGGAGTGCGTCCCCCGGTATTGCTGGTGGAAGCCTCGAGGAGGGTTATGTGATGCGTCTCCGGAGAATAAGAAGGGTGTCGAGTGAGGAAATAGGCGGTGCAGCAGCCAATAATGCCGCCTCCTATTATCGTGATTTCTTTTGGTGAGGATGCCATTTTGCGCCTAGAAAGATTGCTAAGGAGGTGAATTGGCGCGGGACTAAGCATTCATTCGAGTTACGTTTTATGCCCCAGTTCTTGCACTTATAGGCCTATAATTTGACGGACTGGAACTTCGAAGGTGACTTTTAACTAATGGATTAGAATGTGTTTTTGGTTTGTATTATGAAACCGCCTTATGATGATGCATATATTCTAAAAGTTGCCTAGTCCAGGCACCATGTTATGTAACGGCGGGTTGTGGTGGGCTACGGTGGGGTGCACGATGTTACGTCATTAACCATTAAGGGGACACTAAATGAGTTATATGGAGACAAATCTTTAAACTAATAACTTTATTTTATATTCGATTGGTTTAAGTAAACATACTTTTAAACATATTAAAAGGTGACAATTATAAACATCGAAGCCACGAGTGGTCTGAACACCTAACCACTCTACTTAGACTTCTCATTGTGATTGGTAAAAGGAAAAGCCCACCTCCGCATAGTTACCTACTATCTTCCTTGATATTCTTTTTTAATTGCAAGGGTTAATTTTAGAGCTTTCTTAGCCGAGACAATCTTAAAGCTACACGCAAGCTTTTGCTTGGCACTCTGGAACTTTCTGTTCATCCGTGAACGTAGAGTATAGAGGATACCAAGTCTTGAGGCATCCTGTGCTCTTGTCTCGTCGTAATGCCTTTCATTGGTACCGTATATGGGGACATCTTCGGTGTTATTGGTTTCTCTGGCCTCTTCGGTACTTATTAGGGGGTCTTCGGACATAATTTCCGTAACGCCGAAAGGAGTGTATGCCGGAAGAATTTCAGGGGTGTAACGAGGAAGGTACTCGCCTTCAAATTCGGATTCGATTTCTAAATCCCCTTCATTGATTCTGGTGGCAGTTTGTGATATAGATCTAACAAGGTTCTCTTGATTGTCGCTCATAGTTGGCCGCTCATTTTCCGCGCTTGACTCTTCACTCACGTTGAGTTCCGCATTCCTAGGAGGTAAGAGCTCAACTAACCCTGACTCCATGGCGTTGAGCTCTTCATCAGTGTATATATTTATTGTGCTAGGAAGCTTTACGTTACTTGTGCTGGACACGGGTTGTCCAAAGCTCGCTTGTATCACTTTAATAACGAAGGTTAATATGCGCCCCTTATAGGAATGTACTAAGATTTCAATGTATTTTGGAAGCACTAACTCCTATAATAATCTGTTAAGAACTTCTGGCCCCGTAGCGAGCCGGAAAGGGGAAGGAGGGGGGACTCTTGGTGATACGTACTATAACTACAAAAAGCGTCGACGTCGTCCCAATATGGTTTCGTTAAAATCTCCTCCGCTTCTTTAGGGGTCATCACATATTTGTAATTTGAATAGGCGTAGTCGATCATGAGAGTTCGTATATAGACGACGTTGTTGGTTGGACTACGCGAGGGGATAACCGGTATGGCCATAGTGACAATAATCCCTTGACAGGGTCCTTTGTTAATATAGTATAGTCAAGAAGAGCTGGACAGGAGATATCCACATATTCTAGTGATACGTCTCAAGCACTTCGACCAACTATGAAGTGCTTTTGAGATATTGTATCTGAATTCGTGTCGAGTGAACCAAATTGTACTGGATCTTAAGTTCTTACTAGATGTCGAGGGAACTACCTAGTTAATATGAAACTTTAGGCGCTTTGTCATAGTAGAGCATTTGTGTCGGCAATATAATGAAAGGCTGTGATTAGAATAAGGATTGTCAAGACATTTCCCTTTGTTTCCCTCGTGATCAAAACCTAGCCCTATATCTTGATACATGTAGTTCCTATTATAGAATACTAAAGGACGAAGTATCCCGGAGTATCTTCTTTATGGATTTCTCTTCTCCCTTGCCGATAACGGCTTTAGATCAGGTAAACAGCGGCGAGCTTTAAATAATGTAATTATGGAGGACCACTTACCTATAATTAGATGGTATAGTATGTTGAGACTTAACAAGGTTCCATACTGGAATTAAACAATGGCATTATGGTATTCTTTTTTAGAATATCTTATGTACGTACTATTTCGAGAAGGGAAGGTAGGCATAACCCTTAAATAAAGGAGGTAGCTATCATGATAAATGGTGCATAAGATGCATGCAATAGCATAGCCAACACTTCTTCGAACGCTAGATGTTACTAAGTATAAACACCCGTCGTGAGTTCTGCTACTTATCTCCGCCTTTTAGATATGCACGGTACAGAAGCATGGAATCCATAGAATTTTCTTGACATCGTTTTTCATGACGCTTTCTATATTCTGGTTCTGGAGAGAGGCTATAACAGCAAATTTGCGAGTGCCATAAATAGGTATGAACCATTTGTTAGGTGCTCTATCTTAAAGTAACTAAGAAGCATAATACACTCCTTGAGTATTCCTTTCCCCTGGAATATCAATGGCGAGCGACATAAGGGGAGTAGTCGTCGTGTATTCTCAAAACCTGGAAACACCAGGTCTCAAGTGCCGTCATAAGAGCCATGTACCCGAAGTGTCGACCCAATTCGCCGGTCTTGCCGCTCCCAAGAAGCTCGAACTTGAAGGGACTGCGGCTTATGGATAGTATAACTTTTTTGGTTGCCCAAACGGCGACTACCTCCTTGCCATCGCTGCTTTCCCCCAACTGTCTCGATTGTCTCTTCCCGCCCCGTCCGTCACCAGGTCCTTCGGCCCCCACTCGTACCAGCTTAAACCCTTTGGCATGTTTGAACATGGCTTTGATCTCGTTGCCTTGAGTAGGTCGCCATTCAAATTTCTCGCTGTGTAACCCCTCGCCCTCGCCCACCTTCATCGTGAACTGGTACCAACGACGAGTAAACTCCTGTTCGGGTCTCATGGTCGAAGTGAACATGTTAGGGTATTCTCCTATAGGAGGAAGGATGATTTCGTTGGCCATCCTATATCCTTGATGGAACCAGCCTGTCTCTTTCCCAATAGCTGAGATCTGGCCGTCTGTGGTCGACCCTTCGTGAAGAGTGAGGATTGTTTTCGATCCGATAGGTCCCCTCGACACCGTGAAGCGGAAGTCGTGAGCGTGTTGACCGAGGCTGAATTTCGTTTCATAGGGATTGGTATAGAAAACCTTCAGATAATGGGGGAAATCCTCGGCCATGTTGAAACCTGTTTATAGTGTTGTTAGTTTCATGATCGATTTTGTTGTCTATAGGCACAACTTACTGTATTCTTGAATAACAAGGCGTGCGAGTGTAGATATTAGTGTTGAAGGGTCGTTAATTTAGAATAGTTATAATAGAGCTAAGGTGTATATCCCGACTTAGAGCAGTGTTGAGATTATTCGTTCCTGGAGTAATGCTAGAATGATGGTTCTAGTGCATTGAATATTTATCCAGACGGAATACACTCGGTTTTACGGCTAGGCAGAACTGATTTAATGACCTTTTAAGTCGTATATTGAAACAAGCATCAACTAGACGAAGTGATGAAAATGGTGTATGGAAGTAAAGATGATGCCGAAATTTCTGGAGGGGAATATTGTTGGATACCTGACGGGTGGAAGATGTGTGAATTAAATGACGGCCCGTCAACATTATGCACTCTGGCAACTAGGATGGGGCTGTTAAATAACACTGGGATTTGTTTGCATACGTGTATGTGAGTTGTACCAGGTGAGTCGAATGACAAAGTTGACAGCTGTCTATCACCTAAGAAATCTGCATTGTATGAATGAGCCCCAAGAAATCATGACTGGATAAAAACCCAATAATTCCATTTGTTATACTTTATTCTTACGCAGGAGCTGTTTTCTTACCTAGAGTAAACCCTAACGTGAAATGAGTCTTTACATAACAGCTGGTAAATCATGGCCCAATATTAAAACCACAGGTAGAACTACTAGAACTCAACCCACTACATCTTGTTACATTCAATATAGGCACCTAACTCAATCAGAAACCGAAGATGGAACTCAATTTGGGATATCGTCTCGGAACTAATAAATCAACACGAAATTTTAGTAGTCCTGCCTCCAGGAGCCCCTCTCCTATTCCTCAAAAAATGATCAACGATAGACGGGAGTGGTACTGAAATACGTGACGCCTTGAACATCATAAGACCAAATCTTTAGGGCAGTGGCGAGGGCGAAATAGCCAAATTGGCTACCCAACTCCCCAGACTTGCCGCTTGCACGCAACTCAAACTTGAACGGCTTATTGGTTGGCGTCAAGCTCGACGGCACTAGGCTCTTTTCAGTAGCCCAGACAGCGACAACCTCTTTTCCATCGCTGGTCTCATCCACATGTCGATCGTCTCTTTTTCCGCCCTTTCCGTCCCCAGGACCTTTGCTGTCAAGGCGTACCAACTTGAACCCCTTAGCGTGCTTGAACATATTGCACACTTCATTGCCTTGAGTGGGTCGCCATTCAAACTTCTCACGGCCTGAGTCCAATTTTAATGAGAACATAAACGAGCGGTAAATATTGCCCATGAGGTTGATTAAGGTAATTGTAGTATCGCCGACCTGGACTTCGGTCTTGTGTGTGGCATGAACGATGTTTGGCTTGCCGACTACCGCTAGGACATTGCCGTCGTTGGTAAAGTTATCAAGAACCATAAGTGGCTTGTTCTTGAAACGAAGATCCACAGTAACCGTGAAGTGCATATCACGGGTATGTGCGCCGAGGTTGAAGATGGGAAAGGAAAGTTTGTTTGGAAAGAATGCTTGGAGGTAGCTGGGGAACTCGTTGTTCATGGTGGACGACATCGCGAGATACAGTTGGAATTGCCTGGAATCGGTTAATAAATTGATTATCTTTTTTCTCTTGCTAGTAGGACTTACTGTAAAGTTTATTGACGAAGGGTATTGGCTCTGGAGGGATACTGGTTTATGTCCAGGGTTTCTTGATGATCCAATGTCCAAGGAAGGTTGGGAGGGTAACTTGGGAAGGAAATGTATGGAGAGAGCAGGAGCTTTTGGGATGGAGGGTTTATATATAAAATATTTCCGGGGCTGAATGGAAGGACGTATATGGTATTTTCCTTAGTCACGTAAGTTAGAAAAATACCCTTCATCGTGATTTATGATTTATTTCGTCCTTACGTGGTGTACTATGTTGGATAGTTTTATCTCAGTCACTAGTAGGGGGCTTCGGTGACTAATGGGATTGAAACTGAAATAGACCTGAATAATAGACTTTTATACGTATAAGCGTATAAGAACGATATTGAGTCAGAATCATGGAATTGATAGGTGCCAGCCACTTGAATGATCTGTAATATCAAGTCCTCGATGAACAAACCACCCGAGTTCAGTACAATCATTACACCGAGAAGGCCCACCTGGGTCTTGGATAGCCATCTTGGCTACGGCTTGTGAGTCAATAGTATGTAAATGGTTACGGTCAAGTCCGTATGGATTATTATGCATGATTGATACTAATTATCAATGTTTATGAGGTACTGATTTGTTATCGGCCGCACCGTACCTTTTGTAGGTACATCTTGAATAATATGGGATATAAATTGTATCAGGAAAGAATTGCCCTAGAGTAATCCAAAGGAAAGAGGTAAGAATTTACGAAACTAGCGCCTAACCCATGCTTTATAATCCTCATCCTCATCGGCTTGCGTTATTGACTATTTGCTAGTTTGGGAATACTAGACTTCAAACTGCGTGATTAGTTTAGGTATTTTTCCACGGTTTGGTTCGCCTTACATTCTGGTAACAAATAAAACAGACCAGGTGGTTGCCTTCATGCAAATAAGACAAAGCATCAATAGCAGAAGATGGTATTACAACACATGATAGAGCACGCTCCCCTTAATGTGTTTGACAATTAACCAAAGAAACTATATTTCAAACAAATAATAGAAGGAGAGCGCGAATAAATAAAGATATTTTATATTCCCGTAATGAAAGATTTCTGACCCCAAAAGCTAGGTAAAAGCTCAGGCAACTATCAAAGGTCATGCTCTCCGTAGGGAAGCGAGGGTCATAACTCACCTAGGCGAAGATACTGAATGTATAAGAGGTGGGTTATGAGAGGGCAAGCTATCGGGCCTAGGGTATCTAGCAGCATTTAAGTTGAGAAGAAGTTTCATATATGATTTAAAATGATCAGCATATGTCCGTTTGTCAAATTAGGTACGTTGGAAAAGGGGGGAACCCCTCACCTCCCATCCTGAGTTCATACATGTAGCTACCTACTCATGTGGCAAAATCAACTTGAACTTATCTTATGCATAATTATTACGATTCAGATTACCATTAGAAAGGCTCCAAAATGATTCACAAGAAAGTTAAAGTAGCTGCTGTACATGCCGCCCCGGTATATATGGACAAGATTGCCAGCCTGCGTAAAGTGACCACCACTATTTCCGACGCATCACACAAGTCTATCGAGCTTCTTGCTTTCCCCGAAGTTTTCGTCCCCGGATTTCCCTACTTCACAAATTGCTATGCGCCCGACGCTTCGACAGTAGCGCTCTATGCTGCGCAGAGTGTCGTAGTACCAGACGACCTTGGCGAAGTACAAGCCGCGTGCGCGAAACACAAGATGGTCGTCGTCTTGGGTATCTCCGAGCGTATGCGTGATGGATACACGTTATTCAATAGCATCGTAACTATTGACGCAGACGGTACAATCTTAGGAGTCCATCGTAAGGTTCAACCTACGTGGGCCGAACGACTTGTATGGGGACAGGGATCTGGCTACACGCTCAAAAGCTATGAGCCCAAAGGTGCTGGGTATAAAATTGGCGCGCTCGCATGCTGGGAACATACGATAAACGGGGCTCGGCAAGCCCTTATCGATCAGGGCGAGCACATTCACGTTGGCTGTTGGCCGGCTCTCGATACTCTTGAGGGTTTCGAGGATGTGGCGTGCTTACAAATTGAGGCGTTGATGAAGACGCACGCTCTAACCGCGCAAGTATTCGTACTTTGTCCCAGTAGCTACGTTGATAAGACGTGTCTACAGTGGATGGAACAGAATCTAGGTCCACAAGATAAGGTGAAAGATGGCGGTGGTTGGACCACTATCATTCACCCCTTTTGCTCGATTATCAAAGGTCCCTACACAGGTGGCAAAGATATGATAATTGCTGCAGAAATTGATCTATCTCAATTAGATCTGGTAAAGGCGTATGTGGATGGGGCTGGCCATTATAAGCGCCCCGAGCTCTTCAGGTTGGATGTTAATACGGAACAGAGATGGAAAGATGAACCAGATATTGTCGGTCCTATCCCGTGGAATGCATCATAACTTCTACATATCGCTAATAATGGTTCTATAAATTTATCTTGGTGTTAGGTATAGGTATAAGTTGGTGGGTCTTTCGTGAGTCAATTGAGAACTTCATTGTTTTCCGTGATCGGCCGGGTATAATAGCGTATTGATGGCTTACGATGCGGACTTTCGTGACATCCCCTCACTATACCCCTAGTGTGGATTTTTAGCTTAAGTATCGTGGAAGCTTTGCTATATTGACGCCGTTTTCCATTCTTTTCTTTTAATATATTACAGTTCATCCTATATTCTATCATCATAATGGCCGATAGCAAATCGAAAACAGACTACACCCTTCACGTGTACTTTACCCGATACTCGAGTACGTCAATTGCTACGAATAACTTTAACATTATTGACGAACTTGAAAACTGACAACAAATATTAGGTTGGGGATCGCGAGTCGAACTTATTCTTTCATACTTCCACATACCCTGCGATATCAAACTTTATGGCATGAATAATCCGGCCGCCGCACCGCCAGCACGTTTCGCGAAAGGTCTGCTCCCTGCCTTACAAGTAGGTGCGGAAGACGAAGATTTCGTGATCACCGACTCTCTTGCCATAAGTGAATTTTTGGCAGAGCAGCACCCAGAGCTTCACTTATGGCCAAAGGACCTTAAGTTAAGGGCGTTAGCAAGAACAGCAGTAGCGCAGATGCATTCCGGTTTCAATGAGATCCGTAATACATACGCGACCAACTTCCTCGGCAAATACGCTGGCGATATCCCCATCAGCGAGTCTGTTGCAAAGGAGATTAAGGGAATGGTTGAACTTTGGAGCAAGGCGCGAGCAGATACTAAGAAAAGGCTGCAAGAGCTAGGCGAAGAGGATCAAGGATTTTTATACGGCGGCTTCAGTATTGCCGATGCCTTCTTCTGGCCTGTTCTATGGGTAAGTACCGGGAAGAATTGAATCTGTATCTTTGCTATTGCTCATGCATCAATGTAGCGTTTTCGCAGCTACCAACTACCCCTGACTGGGATTAGTGAAGACGGTTTGAAGTGGATGGCGAAGATGTGGAATGACCCGACTATAAAATTCCAAATCCAGGAGTACTTCCGACAAGCGAAAAACCCGTCAAGCAAGATCGAAAAGTACGATGATATTTTTAAAAGCAATCCCGATATTGAGTATGGCCAATTCACTGATGACTGGATCTTTGAGTCATAATTCTGGAATATAGAAATCGCTATGCCCGGGACCCAGACCCAGTATTTTGACCGTCACGCCGCCGAATACTTTCTTCAGAAGTCTTCCTCTAAACCCGCGACCCGAAAAATAGGTACCGGGGGCGGGGTGGCTCCTTCACTCCGAGTGAAGATTGAAGAGCTACAACCAGATATTACGATGGTGGAACGATAAGCTATGAGATCCTATTATTACCTGAGATAGGAAAACTAGACCTAGACAGCCGTAGCTATACCTAATATCAATCTATTAATAGAGATGTATTCCAGAGTCCTAGGAGCTGAATCGTATCCAGGCAACTATCCGGGATCTCGGGAAGATAATCTTCTCCGAATCTGACATCAGTCTAGATTATACGACTTTTTGTATATACATAAGGCATTGTTGACATCTTACCTCAAGGCTCACAGCATAAGGGCCCAGATATTACATCACTGAATTCTCGTTTGCCAAAATCATCCATAACCCACCCAAGATGCCTTCTTTCAACCCAGAAAAGGATATACCCGATTTATCAGGGAAAGTTGTGTTTGTCACAGGAGGTAAGCCTATAACCGATATGTAGGTGCTTTTGGGTATAAGGTACCTCTGCATGAGTTTTAGCTGATCATGATCTAGGCACCTCAGGGATTGGGAAAGAAATAGTTCTCTTCCTGGCTTCACACAATCCCGCTCATATTTACTTCACCGGTCGAAATGAAGAAGCTGGCGCTGCAGTTCTCGCTGCCGCTAAAGCTAAGGGTCCAAACACTGAGGTCACCTTCGTCAAGTGTGACCTCTGTTCACCCCGCGCCAAGATCCGACAAGCTATTGCTGAGAGCTTCAAGTCAGATCGCCTTGATGTATTCATTGCTAACGCCGGCATGATGGCTACGCCTCCTGGCCTAACGGAAGAGGGATTCGAGCTTCAATGGGGCAGTAATTATTTCGGGCACGCTGTGATGCTACAGGTTTTGCGTCCCATCCTACTGCGCACAGCCGAGGGCGGGGCCGACGTAAGACACGTCGAAGTCACGTCGTACGGCCATAACTACGCTCCGCCTGGAGGTATTCAGTTCGAGCACTTGAGAGAGCCCGGAGCCGCCGGCGAATTCGCGCGGTATGGCCAGAGCAAGTTAGCGCAGATCCTGTACTGCAAGGCGATGGCGAAGCGCTATCCGCAAATCACCAGCATCCCCGTGCACCCGGGCGTTGGCAACACGGGCTTGCTAGATCATACAAAACAGTCTATATTAAAGCGGCTTATTTCGGTCTCTAGGTTCTTGCTGAAGAGCGCGGCCGAATGCGCGTATAACCCGCTGTGGGCGGCTACGGCTCCGCTCCAAAAGGTAGAGAATGGGCAATACTATGAACCGGTCGGGAAGAAGGCGGCAGCATCGAAGCTGGCTGAAGATGAGGCGCTGGCTGATAGGCTTTGGGAGTGGACTGCTAATGAACTAAAAGATATAGAGGCACTATGATTGGATTGGGATGATTGACGACTTATGAGTGTATAGTTGGCGATAAAGGGTAATCTGATGTTTAGTATTGTACAATACATAGGGACTGTATTTTTAGAGCGCAGCGTGGACGAACCCCACCATAGTGAGCCACGATGCCTTCAATCACATATTTCGCCGCTTCAATTACCGTACTCTTACCTACTGTACAATATAGAGATTATAGTTTCTAAGTAGTTCTTTATAGATGAATATGTCCCAATTGATATTCTGGCACTGCGGATCTGCGATCATGAAATGGGTTAGCAACCTGTTAAAAGGGACATCCTCGGTAGAAAAGGGATCGGTCCTCTTGAACATTTGTCGAAACAGAATCTACCTCTTCTGCTATTATTCCTGCTATGTTAAGTCACTAAGGTACCTAAGGTAGATATGAATGGAAACTAAGAACTAAGAGTCTCGTGATAATAATGGACTAGGTCTTACGTTTGATGACATTTATAAGAATTCGTGGTATTGTTTGTTGATGGTTTAAATTTTGTAGGGTGGGTGGGGATCTAAAGACGTCCCTCCCTGTAAGTGGGTTTACTTTAGGCCGGTCACTACAAGTTATGGCGCCGTATCTCGCTATAATTTAGTATGTACAAGTACCTAAACTTACGATTATTAGTAATATTTCAACTTCACCGGTCTAAATAACCGTCTAAATAACCTCATCTTCTTCGTAATGTCTTCACTTACTCAGCGCGACTCGGAAATTTTCGAGCAGGTTTCTAATCCATCTTAACTTAACCATGTTCTTCACCTTTGCGTCAACGCCTTCCGGTAGCCGCTCATCTCGGCGGAATTCTAGACGGTCTAAAGTAGCACGGGCATGCAACTATTGCCGTGTACACCGGGTGCGTTGTGATGTTGAATTACCCTGCTCGCGATGCCTGGCCAATAATATAGAATGCGTCTCCTCGCCTCCTGGCCAACAATCCTCGGAGAATGCTCAAACTTCTCAGGACGAATCCATACCCATCCAGGAGGCGGCCGGCCCATGCTCGCAGCCTGCTCCGTCTAGTCCCGTCTCATCAAGGCCTGATGGAATGGATTCGACAGTCGGTTTCATGTCTAAAATCAACGCCTTCTGCTCTACTATCTCCCAGTTGTCGTCTGATTGCGTAGGTGACTCGCCACCGCCCCCCTATCCATCCCCAGATGGACAATCGTTACTAAACGAGAGTAACGGGCCCACCACCGTGCTCTCCCGGTCGCAGGTAAAACACTTGCTGGATATATACTGGGCGCGATGTCATCCTCTTAAGCCTATTGTCAATCGTGCCCATGTGGATGCAATATTTGAAACTTTATGGGCGCCTGATGGTTCCGAGTTGAAAACTCTCCCCGTGGTAGATGGTATCATTGCCCTCTGCTTGAACTACCTTAATAATTCAGGTTTAAGTCGTCGCCTACTGAGTCTACGCTTTGAAAAAGGGGGCCCTTCTCTTGCGTACTTCAAGCGTTGCCTGGCCGCCACTAGTCAGTATGCTGTTTTCGCAGAGCCGTCATTGGAATGTTTACAGTGCTATGTCCTCATGATTTTATATCTTCTTGACGCAGGTGAACACCAGCCTGCGTATAATATGATTGGACTAGCCTTGCGCATTGCGCAGGCACTCGATCTGCATCACGGGCTACCGGATTCCGACCCGAACGCCTATCTAGCCCGGCGCATTTGGTGGACCATCATTCATCTTAATTTCAGGTGTGCGCGGTTGCTGGGGCGTCCGGGTGGAGTACAACTTGCCGATACGACCTGCCCGTTACCACCTACAGATGAGTTTACCTACCATACCCGGGCGATTGCTCTTACTAGGGCTACTCTAGCTGTGACAGAGGCACTCAGTCGGCATCCAAATCTTCCAAACGAGGATCGTCTCGCGCAAGTCGTGTCACGCGCATCTGCCCTCTCCACAGAAGTTTACCGGTTGCATGAGTGGAGAGATCAACAGCTACGCCCGGCTCTTGGGCGTCCACTTCATGTAGATAGTAAATGGGATAGCAAGGAGACTTACAGTTGGATCTCTTCCGTGGCCGATATGAGCCCGTCTCGAGCCTTGGGCGAAATTTTCCTAGAGCTTCAATACTATGACGAGATCATCGGTTTGCATCGACCGTTCATTTGTTTCCCTGCCGGGTTAGTAGTTCCAAAAAGCAATCCCCAGAGAGATGCTCATGCGACAACATCACTACAACATGCTATAGCTACAGTAGACCTCACTCATCGCATCATGTCCACTACCGACGTGCTCTGTGGGCATGGTGAAATATGGCAATGGCAGTGGAATGCCCTACTCACATTGATCGGTTTTCTTATGGGATATCCGTTTTGCATATATGCACCTGCTGCTCGCCACCATGTCCAGCTAGCCTTAGAGATTTTCAGCGCAGCGGACCCAGGGAATTCGGTGGCCGTTCGGGCAGCAGCCGTGACCCGCTCACTTTGTGCCAAAGTAGACAATTTGGTGCATATATTGAAATCGAAAGGCGGGCGGCCAGCATCCCCCAATACGGAGAGGGAATGTATTATGAGATGGAATAACACAGAGGCTCCACTCGATCTTTCACGCCCAAGTAGTGACGAATTGTGGTCATGGGTAGATACCACAGACCCTAATGCGTGGCTGACCTATACCGATGGGATCACAGGAGTCCTAGCCGATTTTCCGAATCTTCCGTTTGGCAACGAAGGTTTCTCTCCTCTCCCTTAAAGACATGATCCGCGTGCTTTTACTGCATACCTAATCCAGTCCCGGCGTTAAATATACCAACCAACCGACTATATACCACCTAATCTACCTATCGCATATCCAGTTTTCATCTCTATTATCAATAGACCAGCCCTTGAACCGGTCTCTGTCGGTCAAAATCCGACTCGGCTTGACTGATAACTATAAAGACTAAACGCCGACCCCTTAATATGTCATCATATTCTCAGAAGAGCATACTACCACTGAAGACTTCAGCTCTAGAGCTCCCTTCAATCAATACAGGTACCTAAACCAATGCCCATATATATCGATATATTATATGGCCGGCTTATGGCCCACCCGCTGGCAGTATTTTGAGAATTATAAATGGTATACTACCCGCTAAAGTTATACCATCTACTTTGCGAGCACTGAGGAAAGGGCGATACGAATTACCCATCTTGTAAGGCTTTTAGTATATCCATATCCGATACGTTAACATTAGAATCAATGTCATCCTCGGATTTTGGGGGCGAATGAGGTGTGATACAACCCATCGCACCTCTGGAAAACAGGCACGATTTATTTTTAAGGCCCAAGTAAAAGAATTGCGCAATTCTCCTCCAGAATGCTCAGCGTCTTGCGCGTAAAGAACTTTCTAGTCGGTCAACTCTTCATCCAGTCGTTCCAGGTTGAAAAGGAGACGATAAGCTTCCAAGAATCTTAAGAGGGCACTGCCCCTTCCGGTTAGCTTCCGGGATACTATGGATCTACGTGCTGCTCCGGAATGCTAAATTTGGTATAGCCGGTGCTAATTTCGCCTTATTCAGCAATCATTTTTACACCCCTATCCGGAGTATATCCATATGAAGCAATCGTAGGCTCAAGGACGAGAATAAATCTTACGGGATGAAACTGGAAGAGGAGATTTCGGTAAAAAGTTTAATCGGTCTGCTATCCTGGTGAATAGTTAATTCCGTCACCAATGCAATCGTTGATTTCTAATAAGGTGGACATCCCATCGATTAGCTTACCCGAGCATTCGTTGCCAACAGGGGAAATATTTGATAGAGTCAATATATACGAAGTCAGAAATGCTAGCTACCTATTTATATTAAAGCCAAATCTTATAACATTAGAACAAAATCAACGAGTTCTTTCTCAACATCTTTCTATTCAGGCATATTGTCGTGATGGAGTTGGTCCCCTTTACCCAAAGCGGGCTCAAGCTTAGCCATGAGGACGCGGCTAGCGACGAGAATACGATCCCTAGATTGATCCAGTCATTCTTACGCAACCGCCCCGGAGGGAATAAGGAGAAGCAAGACGTAGTATTTCGAAACCTTACTGTTCGAGGAGCTGGAATTGGCGTAAGTCTGAACTATCCCCTATTCATAAGATGAACTATTGGAAGAGGAAAACATTGTTTGTGTCTTCAAGATACGAAATTAACTCCCTATAGCATCAAGAAGCTCCAACAATCCTAACAGCTTTGCTTGCTTTAGCTGAGAAGGTAAATCCAGCGTCGTACCTATCGAAAGAACCCAAACCATCACGCACGCTCCTCCATTCGACGTCCGGTATAATCCGCGGCGGGGAGACGTTGATGGTTATTGGAAAACCCGGGAGTGGTTGCACGACATTCCTCAAGACTCTGGTAAACTTGCGGGATGAATATCAAGCGGTAGATGGAGAAATATGGTACAACGGCCGGAGCGCAACGGAAATGAAATCGCGCCACCCAGCGGAGATGGCTTATGCTGGTGAGCCTTCCCGCAGTTAAACTAGTCATTATTCACATGTCCTATTGCAATTCTAACAATTTTAAATAAATAGGGGAAGACGATATCCATTTCCATAGTCTCTCTGTAGGCACAACGCTCCGATTTGCATTGAATGCGCGGACCCCAATCGATACCCCCAACCGTTCTCAACAGCTAGACGATGATGTACAAACTCTTCTTGACCTCTTCGATCTCGCGCACGTCGCGAATGTTCCGGTGGGGAATGATTATATTCGAGGTGTTAGTGGAGGTCAGCGACATCGCGTGACTCTGGCCGAAGCATTCTGTACGCGGGCTAGGTAAGAAACCTCATGAGCAAGCGACACATGTGTGCCAACTGACCCCTTTTAGTGTTATGGCTTTTGACAATCCGACTCGCGGCCTTGATTCTTCCACTGCACTTCGGATCGCCCGGATGCTTCGGGAGTATACTATTCAGAGTCAATGCTGCACCATCGTGTCTCTATACCAAGCCAGCGATGCAATAGCCAATTGTTTCGATAAAGTATTGGTACTAAGCTCAGGCCGCGTGGTATACTTTGGACCTACTAGCGAATCGAAGCAGTATTTCCAGGACCTCGGATTCGAATGCCCACCTCAAACATCGCTAACAGATTTTCTAACCTCCATGTCCGGAAATCCCAAGTCTCGTCACGTCCGCTGCGACCACAATGGACGACTCGTACCGATTAGTTCAGGCGATTTCGAACAACGATACCGAGAAAGTAAGCACTACGCACAGGAAATTTCGGGATTTTCGAATGATACAACGCCATCGCCATCGCGAGAGGTATCGAGCTTCCAGTTGCCATTCTACAGACAGATATACGAATGTACTATTCGTCACTACCGCATTCACTTTACGGATCGAAGTACTTGGGTTGCAGAAGCCGCGGGAACCGTAGCTCAAGCAATGATGCTGGGCACACTGTTTCGAGATCAACAAGCAGTCACCCACGGGATTTATACGAGATCATCGGCGTTGTTTTTCTGCGCCCTTATTATGTGTCTTCAAGCTACTGCGGAGTTTGGAAATACCTTTGCGCAAAGACCCATTCTTCTTAAGCAGCGAGCATTGTGTTTTTATAGACCGGGCGCTTACGCACTTGGACAAATCCTTGCTGATATTCCCTGGAAGGTCATCTTCATCCTTTATAACTTACCGATATACTGGATGGTCAATTTTAAACGGGAGGCTGGTCCGTTTTTCATTTGGTTCCTCACGTTGTGGATCTCACTTGTCTCATTGGGGGTGATGTTTCGTACCATTGCTGTATTCACTACGACTCCAACACGAGCTGTTCTCCCAGTAGGAATTCTGATGAACTCACTTATCATTTACACCGGATTTTACATCAATCCACCGGGGATGAAAGTATGGCTAGGATGGCTACGATATATAAATGTACGTTCTGGACCCCTATTTAAACGCATTATAGGTAATTACGGAGAACTCCTGAACTAACCAGCCTAGCCGATATATTATGCTTTCGAATCTGTTATGCTGAATGAGTTCGTATCGAGGGAATACCAATGCAGCGAAGAGGATACAGTCCCACGGGGACTGGATTACAATGACACTGCTTTCCAAGTCTGCGCAGTACAAAGCTCGATTCCCGGCAACTTAACGCTTTCTGGACGGGATTATCTCGAGACGGTTTATAATTTCTTCCAATCTAACCTCTGGAGGGATATTGGAATTAATGCTGCCTTTTTCGTTTTCTTTACTATTTGCGTCACGTACGTTTCGTTAGCTTTTCTTCTCTCTTTTTTCTTTTTCTTTTTTTTCTTTTTTTTTTTAAAAAAAAAATATCTCTAAGATGTGTACTGATTGATTTAGGGTTGGAATGGAGAGGTTTAAAACCCCCGCCGGTTATCTGTCTACGATATTCTACAGCACAGGGGCCCTACAGAAAAAACCTCTAGATACTTCGGACGAAGAGAAGTCCCCAGGACAAGATACGGACACAAGCGAGGCAGTTCTCTCGCAGCAAATCCGGACTACGACCAGAGAACCGATTAAATCTTCAAGACATCATTTCGCTTGGAAAGACCTTTGTCTAGATATTCAAGTGGGAGGGAAACATCGCCGATTATTAAACAATGTCTCTGGTAAGACTGCTCAAGTCCACCTGAGTTTTATTCACCCCTAACGCTTGCATAGGATGGTTAGAACCTGGCGCTATGACCGCTTTGATGGGGATGTCGGGTGCAGGAAAGGTTCGTATAATATTATTTACAAATTTGGCTCCTGCTAATCAAACGTCTGGCGTTAAAGACTACACTTTTAGATACACTCGCCCAGAGGGTTACCATTGGCATAGTAAGTGGTGGATTATACCTTGACAGTGAACCCCTTCCTCAATCGATGAACCGGCGGTCCGGCTTCGTACAGCAACAGGATGTCCATCTTAGCACGGCGACCGTCCGAGAAGCACTGCGTCTTACAGCCAGGCTCCGCCAACCAGCCTCAGTTCCTATCTCTGAGAAGTATGATTATGTTGACGCAGTCATTTCGATGCTTGAAATGGATGATGTGGCCGATGCGCTAATTGGTACCCCTGGCGCCGGTCTAAGTCTCGAGAAACGGAAACGAGTGAGCATCGGCGTTGAGCTTGCAGCAAAGCCGGATATCCTACTCTTCTTAGACGAGCCTACATCTGGTTTGGACGGGGATTCTGCATTCTCTATCATTGCTCTGATGCGCAAACTTGCAGATGCTGGACAGACCATCTTATGTACAATTCACCAGCCCTCATTCGAGCTCATCGAACAGTTTGACAACATCTTGCTCCTCATACCTGGTGGCAAGACGGCGTATTTCGGACCCATGGGACCGCAATGTCAAACCCTAGTCGAATATTTTGGCCGACATGCACGGCCCTGTGGGGATACGGAGAATCCGGCCGACTATGTTCTCGATCTTACGGTGAACGCTCCGGTTGACTGGTCTGAGACGTGGTTGAAGTCGCCAGAATATCATGCGGCCCGACAGCGCTTGGACGAGATATTATCAGGGAATGTACACGACAATAAGGGTGATGAGCATAACACGGCCTTCGCTGCGTCTCTCCGTGAACAAATAAGAGTGGTACTCCATCGAGCCTTCTTGAACTATTGGCGGGATCCAGACTACGTAGTTGGAAAGATTCAGATGAACGTCTGGATGGGTCTCATCAACGGTCTGTCATTCCTACAATTGTCGAACAGCATGACCGACTCGCGAAATCGCATGTTCTCCATTTTTGTTGGCATCATCACAGGGCCTGTGCTTACTCTACAGATCGAGCCACGTTTTATTGCCTTCCGCGATCAGTTCCTTGCACGCGAAAAGGAGTCTCGTGTTTATCACTGGTCCGTCTTCGTCTTGAGCGCGTTTATAGTAGAGATACCGTTTACTCTTATAGGCGGATTCGTCTATTGGGTCTTGTGGTATTACATGACAGGGTACTTTTATTCATCCGAACGCGCCGGTTACGCGTTCTTGATGTACGAACTCTACCATATTTTTACGAGCAGTGTCGCGCAATTAATAGCGTCAATTTTCCCAACCATTGGAGCTGCACACATAGCAACCGGCTTTGTCTGGCTTATGATTAATACCTTTAACGGTCCTCTTTCGCCGCCTCCGCTTACTCCTAGGGGCTGGCGGTGGTTCTACAATGTGTCGCCACTCTATTATTTCGTTGAAAGCCTCGCCACAAACGCTATGCATGGACTTGAGATAACTTGTTCTGAGTCGGAGATATCTGTCTTCCGTGCTCCAGGAAACCAGACATGCGGCGAATATGCTGCATCCTTTTTCAGTTCGTCATCCGCTCAGGGGTATCTAGTTGACGAGAATGCCATAGGAGACTGCGCGTATTGTCCATATGCAAACGGAGACGAATATGTAAGTTCTTCGGTCCGATATGCTTGATATCAGAGGCTAACGAGTTATTCAACATCACGTAGGTCAAGCAATATGACTTTGATTATAGTAGCCGCGCTAACAATATCGGTATCTTTATCGGCTTCATTCTTTTCAACTACACGGTTGCGACTATTGCAACATATCTAATCTTTATTCACAAGTGGAAGATACCCCAAAATTTGTCCCGAAAGCAGTAAATCATTAAAGATGCTGGAGAAGCCATCATCTAGAGAAGTATATTTCTAAACTGGAGTTAAAAGTTGTAAGAAATAGTTAGATTGATCAACATATTTTCTTTTTACGATTCGGATGCTATGGCGATAATAGAATAGAATAGAATTTTTAAGGAATTGTGAGGAGAATAGGAGGATTCGAATATATACTTAGGTAGGTACCTAATATGTATTTTTTAACTTATATTTTTTCTTTCTATGCGCCTAAGACTTATCTCTACCTATATTAAGGTGGTAGGCATGGTGGAAGCATCATCGATTGAGAATTAATCTAATCCACAATTGGTAGTTGAAGTAGGCTAAATAGCTAAAGTAATACTATACTCGCTCATAAAATAAACCACTAACAGGTAAAATCACGAGACGGGGAGCAACGGCATTCCGATGTAACCCAAGTTACCCCTTTTCCGCGTAGATCTCATGAACTGCATGATAAAGCCTCAATTTAAGCTGCCAAGCATGTGCTTACTACGCTAGTTTCTCAACCCAATAAATTCGAATTCAAGCAATGATTGGAAAGCTCCGGCTTCGGCGCCTGATGTGACGCCCACAAGCCGAAAACCCCCAGGGCTGACTTGGTGGAATAGTGACTCAAATTCAGCGACAGTGCGTTCGTGTGAATCATGCGCTCCGAGCATAAACGTATCTTCTACCCTACATGCGCTCAACTTATTAGTATTTAAAGTGGTGATCGGGGAAGAAAAGCTTTGCTATAAAATTAAAGAGAAATAGGTACATAGCAACTTACCGAGGCATTTTGCTTGCCAACGTATTCAGTCTCTTCGCAGGCGGGTCTGGAACAATACACTCGCTGATAAGAACTCTTGCCCCTGGCTTTAGGACCGGAAGTAATGATGACAGGATTTTCACCGCGTCCTCATCCTGCCAATCGTGCAGAATATGTCGGTAAATGTAGATATCGGCTTGAACTGTTTGCGGTTTGAAGAAATCATACACTTCAAAGCTGACGCGCGACTTCAGAGAAGAATCTCCAGCAACGGCGCGTCGTCCCATCTCTAACGAAGTGAGATTATTGTCCTGGATAATGAATGTTGCATCGGGCATTAAAGGTGCCAGTGCTAGGACTGTATGACCGCTGGAACCACCAACCTAAATTCTATCAGCTCACGAGAAAATATGCAAAGGTGAAGCACGAATAATAGTGCCTTGAAGAAAAGAAACACTTACATCAATCACTTTAACCTTTCCCTTGGATTCCCATGGCCAGGCTGCACGCAGACGATCAAAAGACCATAAGGGCGTGCTTGTTCTTCCCGCTAGATACTCATGATATCTCTTATTTGCGGCTTCATTTTTGTGGAAGTGGACGAATAACGATTCATTCGTGCCGTACGCCAGGTTAAATGCAGTGTCGGGGGCATGCTCCGGGTCATCGCGCTTAAGCACAACCGCATCCGGTATTTTCATCATAACTTTTCCAAGATCTTCCGCTCCGAACCGTACGATATTGCTCAAGTGCGGGTTCTGCACCAGCGCAGCCGACGATGCTGAGTGACGAATGACGTTGGGTGATTCCTCGACAAATACACCGTTGGCAATTCCATATCGTACTATTCGAGCCAGTAAAGGTTCAGAGATGCGTATAGCAGCGGCAAGTTCCTGGATCGATATTGACGACCCCAGTGGTACGTGTTCGGGAATCCTCAACCGAGTAATCAAATCTATGTTTACCGTGTCTGCAGTCTATGAGGTGACCCAAAAGGTATAAGTAATATTTTCAGCAAAGGACAGCAGATAATTAACAAGAAAATCGGAACAACACTAACCACCCAAGTTAAAGTCAGAATATGTTCAGTCGGACCTTGCACCAACCGTATCAGGTCGTGGGCTGCATCAATTATTTTGTTACGTGCTTCCCGCAATGTCTTTCCTGCTGGCGTGTCCGATTCCTGTCCGAAATCACTGAATCCTGACTCTTCAAAGGTTGGGGAAGGTAAGCCCTCTCCTTGGAGCAAGGACGAGAGCCTTGAGACTTGTTCCGTAATGGATGATGCTAAACTTTCGATAGAAGACATAGTTATGACGAATATAGAACTGGATCTTTAGAAGGTACCCAGGTAGGTTGATAATAATTATCGAGGTAAGGTGCCCCTTGAGCTTTTATATCAGCATATTTTAGAGACATGATTTGAAGTGGGTCTCAGGGATCCGATATAAGGGATTGGTTTCCCTTGCTTGGCTATTCTAGGCCAGATAGAGTATCTGAAGCAGAATATACTGTGTAAGTATGGATTTCAGGATGATACTATGTATGTGTGGCGGCCGAGTGCCCCCCACGAACATGACAAGACAGCATGGATAGAGAAGAGAATGGATGGGTGTACTTCCTTTTCTAGATGATCTTCAGATTTAACATCTGGATCTTGTTATCATGCATGCATGACATGGTTCATATCCCGTAGGAATTGGTAAGCGAACGTCAAGACACCTGGGTTCACCTCTATCGCCGAAATATACTAACCCCGTTGGATCTAAATCCTTATATTAACCAACATTCCTTTACCTACCTGCCTACTTAGTACCTAGATATCTTTCCCCTTGTTTAGTCTTAGATCATGCACGCACGATCCGACGTGTCCGACCATTCTCTTTCTACCGCTAATCATTTTACATACTACCTACTTAATACACGTACCGGTTTCTAGTTCTTTTATACTATGGTATGATGGGTAAGTAAAACCCCTGTCACATGTTGTGCGTTAAAGTGTGGCCTGTGTTGCTACTTTACTTATTATAAACTCATATACGTGTAATAATAATTATAAAAAAGTTTACCACTTTTAATATTTAAAAGTTAAAACGTTAAACTATAGCCTTTTTTACGATCATTTTAATATAAATTTTATTATTAAAAAGGCACGGGATATTAATGCATTAATTATTTTTATTTTATTATAATTAAATGTATTTTTTAAAAACTTTAAATAATTTAATATTAATTTAATATAATGGTTTATTTAACGTATTTTACGGTATTTAATAAAGTAATTTTACTTTTACTTAATATTATAATAATTAATAATATAAGTTTAAATAAATTATATATATTATTTAAAAATAATGTTATTTTTAAATTATTTTACCGGGTTTATAATGTAAATTACTTTATAAAACAAATATATACATTTAATTATTAAAATTATTAATAAAATAATATAACTTTATTTTATTTTATAACATTTTTAAAATATAATTAATGTATATAAAAAAAAAGTTATATTAATGATTTAAATAATTTAATTAATTTAATAATTTAATAATTTAACGATTTAACGATTTAATTAATTTAATCGATTTAATTAATTTAATTAATATATAAAATTAAGAAATTATAAAAATATTTTTAAAGTTATTTAATTAAGTTTATTAAATCCGTTAAAATAATTACCGTATTTATTTTTATTACTTTTTAATATTTTATTTAAAATACGATATTATTATATAATTATAATATTATTAAATTAATTTTATTAAATTAATTTAATTAATATAAATAATTATTATTAAATATATTATAATAATTAAAAAATATAAAATTAATTAATTTTATTTATAAATTATATATTATTATTTATAAATTAATATATTTTTATTTTTAAATTAATACTTTTTATTCGTAAATTACTTTTTTAATTACATTATAAAATAAAATTACATTTTTTTAAATTTAATATTAATTAATTTATTTAAATATAATTAATTAAAATATATTAATATATTTATAAATATTTATTATTATTATTAAAAAATATTAACGTTTTATAAAAATATAAAGTATAATTAAAAAATGTTAATTTATTATAATTTTAATACGTAATTATATATATTTATTTTATAAAATAATTTACATTATAAACCCGGTAAAGTAATTTAAAAATAACATCACTTTTACTTAAAAGCATTTATTAAATAATTATATTTTATGCATAATATAATTACACTTATTATTTTTAAAATCGCCGTTTTTAAAGATTGTTATAAAGTAACTTTTTATAATTAAAATATATATAAACTTAAAAAAAATAAAGTAATGTTAATGCAATTAATACTTGTTAAATTAATTAACCTTATATAATTTAAAAATAATTTAAATATCTGTAATTTCTTATATTTTTATTTATATATTAAAGTTTTATATTTTAAATATATATATATTTTTATTTTTTAATTAAATAATTTATATAATTATAAATATTTATTTATTTTATAATAATTAAAAGTTTTATTATTTATATTTTATTATTTAAGTTAAAAAATATATTTAATTTTAATTATATTAAATAAAAAGGTTTATATAAAATTAAATTTACGTTAAATTTATAATATAAAATATTATAAAAAAAGTAATAATTATTTTTATTAAATTTTTTAAATAATAAAGGTAAAATAATTAATTTAAAGGATTTATTAAAAGTAAAAAGTTTTAAGATTAATTTAATTTTAAAAATGTTAATATTAAAAGTAAATTTTTTTTATTTTTATTTTTTTATTTAAAAATATTTAATTTAATTAATTATTAAATTAAAAAATTAATAACGTAAATAATATATAATATATTATTAAAATTAAAAAAAAACGAAAAATTTTTTAATTATATAATAATTAAAATTATAATTATTATTAAAATTAATTTTATAGTTAAAATTAATTAAAAATTTATAAATAATATAATTATTTATTTAAAAGTTTTATAAATATTTAATATATAATAAGTAATTGTAAAAAAATTAAATAAATATATTAAAGTTATAATATTTACGAGATATTATTATATAATTTATATTTTAATAAATATTATTAAAGATAGATATTTTTTTTTAAAAAAAATATTAAATATAAATATATTTTTAAAAAAGATATGGTTTTAATATAAAAAAGTTATTATATTTTTTTTAAAGGTTTTTAAAGATTAAAAGGTTTAAATTTTAAAATGGTTTATTATTATAATAAAGGTTTATTAAATTTATTTATTTAAGGTTTTAAATATAAAATATTAATTTAAAGATTTTACGGCGGTAGTAAAAAATGTATTACCGGTGTAAGTTAATGTTATAACGAACCGAAAAAGTGATAAAATAATTAATTAATTTTTAATTTTTAAAGATATTATGTTAATATTATGGTATTATTTAATTAATAATAAATGTTTATAAAAAAGATTTAATTTTATTAAAAAATTTTTTAAATTTATTTATTAAAAAAAAAAGGAAAATATAATCGATTTATTTAAAAAGGATAATTTTAAGTTTAAAAAATTTTTATAATTTTTTATTAATAAAAAATGTAATTAAAGTAATTTAAATAAGTGTAAAAAAATTAATATTATTATTAATTTATTAATTAAATTTTATTTTAATTAATTTAAAAAAAAGTATAAAATTTATAAGGAATTTTATATTTTAAAATAATATTTTTATATTTTTTTAAAAAAGATTTTTTATTATTTTAAATTTTATAAAAGTTTAAAGATTTTTATTAAAATAAATGTAAAGAAGTTATTTATAATTATTAAAGTATAAGTTATTAAAAAAGATAAAAAAAAGATTATTAATAAAATTAATAAAGATTAATTAAATAAATAAATTATTAATATTAATAAATTAAATAGTTTTATAATTATTTAATTTTATATAATTTTTTACGTTAATTAATATTTTTTTAAAAATTTAATTATTTTAAATTTAAAAATTACGATATATATATTTAATAAGATTTTTAAATTTAAAAATTTTAAAATAATTTTTTTTAAAAATTATTTATATATAAATAAAAAGTTTATAATTATATTAAAGTATGGTAATATTAATATAAAGATTTTATATAAAAGGTTATATATTATATTAAAATTATTTAATATTATTTTTTATAAAAATTTTATTTATAATTTAATATTATTAAAAATATTATAAAAATAAAATTATTAATAAAATAATAAAATTATTTA